GCTTCCTCCTTCTTCCAAAGCATATGGGAGATATGGGAAGATGGCTCTCCTATCTCCCATTCAGCCAGATCTCAGCTGAGGGATGAGTGAAGAGGCACAAGGTTCCTGCCTTTTCTGTGACTGAAGAGAGGAGACGGTAGATCCATCCCAGGAAATATTCCTAGTGATTTTTAATAGCATTTTAGTTCCTGCCCTTATTCCTCATACTATATTGTATTACAGTTTATATCCTGTGGAGTATGATAAAATACAATTTGTAATCAATTAAAGAAGCAATACAATCATGCAGCGTCTAGTGTAGAACATGGCAAAGGCTACAAGCTGAACAAAACCATTCAGTGGTCTGCTAAATCCCTTGGGGAGGGGCGTTTGGAGACCCCTGCCATACGCTGCTTTGAGGACTGTGGCTGGCAAGTGGCATGCAAGCCTTCTCCATGTATCCTTACACCTCTGCCCAGATGTGGGCCAGGATCTGTGTGAGTCAAATGGGCCTCTTCTCCCACCCCAGATGGAGGGGGGTTGCTGGCCCTAAAGGGGGTCAAAGCAGAAGGTGTCCTCCTGGCTGAAGTGAAGCAGGTCTGGGTGTGATCAGGGCCTGGTGGGTGACTGTCTGGGAACCCCAGTCCCTTCAACACCAGAAGACAAGAAGAGCTCTGCTGAATCAGACCAGGGGACCTCCTTGCAGACCTGGTGCAAACTAATCTGGCTGAATGCTCAATATGCATGTCATTGCCCTATTCTACTTCCAGGGCCAGAAGCAAGAAGAGTCCAGATTACAAGTAAAATGAATGTGAGATATTTATTGACATAACTGCATACAAATGGTGACAATTTAGAAACTCAGAAAGAAAATGTGTGAGAATGGGGAAAGCATGTTATGAAAAGCACTATGTCTGTGTGGAATATAAGATAATTGTTATAATTATTTATTACATTTGTATACCGCCCTTTATCTGAAGATCTCAGGGCAGTTCACAGCAAAAAAAGACAAGATAAAAAAACAAAATACATAATGGAAACAAAAACAAAACAACAACACCCCCACCCCACCCCCATAAAAATACATTTTAAAAGATATATAGGATGTTAATCAGCCCAATGCCTGATTGAAGAGAAATGTTCATTCATACACACACAACAAACACAACAAACAAACAAAGTTATACACAACAACAATATCAAATCCAGATTCTCCTAATCCTGTGACTTCCCTCCCCTCTGCTACCTTAAATTGCCTTTTCAATTACATGTCATTTCTACTCCAAATTATTTTTTCTACCTCAAATTTCCTATATTCTAAAAATTACAAGTGTTCTTAAAATCCTACCAATGTATTAACCTGTTTACAATACTTTTGCAAATACATAATAAACATTTCCCATTTTTAAAAAAATTTCTTATCATCTTGATTTCTGAGCTGTCCGGTTAGTTTTGCCATTTCAGCCTAGTCCATTAACTTGGTTTGCCAATCTTCTTTGGTCGGGACTGCTTCTTCTTTCTATATTTGGGCTAACTGTATCCAGGCGGCCGTCATAGCATACATAAACATTTTTTACTGCTCTTTTGGAATCTCCGCTCCTACAATACCTAATAAAAAGGCTTCTGGTTTTTTTAACAAAGGTTACTCTGAACATTTTCTTCATTTCATTATAAACCGTTTTCCCCCCCAAAAAATTACCTTCCTACATTCCCACCACATAGGATAAAACATACAAAACATACCATGTAAACATTTCTTTACATTTCCAACACTTATTAGATCCTATTATTTCCCTTGAACTGGACACTAGACTTCTGTTGATGCAGCCTAGAATAGCATTAGCTTTTTTTGCTGATGCATCACACTATTGACTCATTCAAAATAAATAAATAAATAAATAAATTGTCCAGTAGCACCTTAGAGACCAACTAAGTTTGTTTTGGGTATAAGCTTTCGTGTGCATGCACACTTCCTCAGATACCATTCTTCAAATTATATTGACTCATGTTCAGCTTGTGGTCCACCAAGACCCCTGGATCTTTTTCGCATGTACTGCTAATAAGTCGGGTATCCCCCATCTTATACTGTACGGCTGCATTTGTCCCTATTGAAATATTGTTAGCTTGGGCTCAGTCTTCCAATCTGTTATGGTCAATTTCTTTGATAATGTGAAGTTGCTCCTATTGTTAAAACAGGAATAGGATGTTGCTTCCTTTGTTTATATGGTTCACAGATATATTTATTTTCAAAACCAATTTACAATGCATTTTATACACTAAAAACACAACGCAACAGCAAACTGCACACAATAATACAACAAAACACAACAAATCAGGCTTTAAAATTGATCAGCAATAGTTTCAGCAGCTGCCATGCAGTGTTGGGTTCTTATTGTTAATTAATTTATTTTGTACCGAATATATTTTGATATGTTTCTATTCTGTATTTTGTATGTGTGTGTGTAGCTATATAGGTATAGATAGATTCGAATGTGGGATGAAAGCATCCAAAATGCTTAGCAAAGGGTTAATGCTATAGCTTTTCAAGAAAGAATTCTGTGATGTCATATGCCTTCTGCCAGAGGAAGTGATGTCACTTGTGGCAGCTATGGCAGTAATGAGCAGTAGATGTCTTCTGTTCTGCCTCAGAGTTTGTCCATCTGTAACAGTTTTTGCCTTAGATACAAATGTATGTAAAATGTTTTAGCAACATAAGTAACACCTCCCTGCCTTGTACATTTAATCTAACAAGTGCAAGTACACTGAGTAAAAGTTATTTGTTATTTAAACTTTAAAAAGAGTGTATCTTGTGTAATTCCCACAATATTATATAGGTATATATAGACTCCCTTGGAAGGTAACAGACTTTCCTTCCTTGGACCTTTTCAAACAGAGGTTGGATGGCCATCTGTCATACATTGCAGGGACCAGATGACCCTCAGGGTTCCCTCCAACTCTACAATTCTAATACATGCATGCATGAATGCATACTTTAAAGTACATGGGTCCCAATTAATGCAGGACTTTTAACACTAGTATTAATTGGGACCCAAAATGCCTCTCATGTTTCATTGTACTGTATACTCAGGGAAAGATTTTCAATAGAAAGAGCTGCAGTTTCTTTGATAAGGTGCACAGATAAACCACTCAAACTTAATTCTGCAAATACCTTTTCCTTTATGGGAAAAGTTAATATAGCTTCAAATGTCACATTTTCATGAACTGCCATGAAGATTCTCTTGAAAACACTTTCACTGACTCTCCTTTCCTGGGACTTGGAGCTTCCCCTGCTTCAGATATGATACTTGATGTCCTAAGAATACATCTGCAACGTCTACAACCTCAGCCAAATCCAGTCACACCAGTTGCCAGGAAAGCTCTGCAACTAGGATCCCATCCGCCTGAAACTCCAACAGATGTCGTATATTAAACAAAGCAAAAATAAATATTAAAAAGAAGGAAAGATATTGGTTAAGGGATCTTTACCTGGTCAGTCTCTTTCTCAATTCTGGAGAGTCAGCAACTCTTGTCTTTAATTTCATGTCCAGAACCAAGAGCCAGGTCAAAGAGAAAGGCTGATCCCAGCATGCTTCATTGCTTAGGCCAACTCCCAGGTCTATTGATCCAAATAAGAGGTTGCAGAGAGCTGCTCTGCTTATGCCAGGGAACAGGCACACAAAGAAAGCAGTCCTTATTTCTTACATACTCTTGCTGGGCAAAAAGTCCCAGTTGCAAGCATTCCCCCCCCAAAAAAACCCCCAGGTTTCTAACACACCCATCCATAGGGGTGGGATTTATTTACTTCAGGTATGTCCAGAGTCTGTTTCGGGGGCCTAATACAGCTCACCTGTCGATTTAATCAGTCCCCTGTGGCAGTATATGTCCTGGGATAAAATCCCCCCAAAAAGCTCAGCAACTTCAATCCTAAAAAAAGCTCTTTGAAAAAAGTTTGGGCACCCTTGATTTACTTCTATTGGAATAAATATTTCTATTGAATAAAATACCACTTGATGGTAACTGGTAACAAAACATTTAACCAGTTTAACTAGAAAAGTTAAAATTATCAATTAAAAACATTTAAACAGCAATATTAAAATTATTATTAAAATTAAAATCATAAATACATTAAAACTAACAGTATAAGATTAAAGCACATCAACTTCTATGCATCTAGAAAGGATTGCCTGAACAAAGCGTAGAGCCACGGTGCCTGTGTAACATCAAGAGGCAGAGAGAGATTTCAATTCAGATATGATGCTGCATTGAGAATAACTCCAACTTTCTCAGAGAGCCGGGCTCACCAGGAGTCTCTGGAGAATTCATGTTTTTCTGAGGATTCTTGGGGGCCCTGAGGAGGGCTTGACAGCTTCCACCTTAGTATACCAACAGGATATGTAACCAGAACCTCTTTTAACACTCACATGGAAATGATTTCTCCCCACGGTGAATACTTTGATTACTATGGAAGTTTGTGCTTGTATTAAAGCTCTTTCTACATTCCAAACACTGTGTCATAGAGGAGTGGTGGGAGGCATCAGCTGGGGAACCCCCAAGGAAAGATAGCTCAGACCCTGGGGACTGGTGGTGGGACGATGATGAGCAGTCAGAGAGAGAAGCGAGAGCAGACTTGGGGAAGGAGGTGTCAGAAGCTGAAGTGCTAACAGGGTTTAGAGAGCAGGAAGACTCTGTGGCAGAGAGCAGTCCAGAACCAGAGGCAGAAACTAAAGCAGGAGAGGAGCGAGACCAAGAGGAAGAGATGAGTCAGGCTGGTGGAAAAAAACAGGCAGTCTCCCCCCCCTGCAGCAACAAGCTACTCTACCGCTGATCTTCTAGGACCAGAAAAGTAAAGATGAGGGAGGAGCAGAGACAGACAAGGCAAAGAAATCTCAGATTGCTTGGGAAGGAGGAGACTTAAGGAACTGTGGGAAGGTGGGAACCTTAGGTCCTCACAACTGCTTCATTGGGTCAAGAACTAATGGAAAGAGTTGCTGTGCTCACTAGGTTTGGCCTCCTGAGCTGTTTTATTTCTTTGAATAGAGAGTTAACTTCACTGACACCGTGTGAGTTATTGATGACCTGCTCCTGACACCCACCCTCACACCCTGATATTTCTCTCCTATATGATTTCTTTGATGGGAAGTGAGAGTGGAGCTGTGACTGAAGCTCTTTCCACATTCCACACACTTATATGGTTTCTCCCCTGTATGAATTCTTTGATGGGAAGTGAGACTTTCCTTCTGACTGAAGCTCTTTCCACACGCTTGGCATTTAAAAGGTTTCTCCCCACTGTGAATTCTCTGATGTCGACGAAAGTTTGTGCTTGTATTAAAGCTCTTCCCACATTCCAGACATTTATATTGTTCCTCACCTCTGTGAATTCTTTCATGTGAAGTGAGACTTTCCTTCCGACGGAAGCTCTTGCCACACTCTTGGCATTGAAAAGGTTTCTCTCCTGTATGAATTCTTTGATGGGCAGTGAGATGGGCCCTCTTACTGAAGCTCTTTCCACACTCTTGGCATTGAAAAGGTTTCTCCCCTGTATGAATTCTTTGATGGGCAGTGAGATGGGACCTCTGACTGAAGCTCTTTCCACATTCCAAGCACTGATTGGGTTTCTCTCCAGTGTGGATTCTCTGATGTCGATGAAAGTTTGTGCTTGTATAAAAGCTCTTCCCACATTCAAAGCACTGATGTGGTTTCTTCCCTGTATGAATTCTTTGATGGGAATTGAGGCTTTCCTTCTGGGTGAAGCGCTTTCCACATTCCACACACTGATAAGGTTTCTCCCCTGTATGAATTCTTTGGTGAGAAATGAGATGGGCATTCCGACTGAAACTCTTTCCACATTCCACACACTGGTGTGGTTTCTCCCCCATATGAATTCTTTTATGGGAAGTGAGACTTTCCTTCTTACTGAAGCTCTTCCTACATTCCAAGCACTGATAAGGTTTCTCCCCTGTATGAATTCTTTGATGAGAAATGAGATGGGCATTCCGACTGAAACTCTTTCCACATTCCACACACTGGTGTGGTTTCTCCCCCATATGAATTCTGTTATGGGAAGTGAGACTTTCCTTCTTACTGAAGCTCTTCCTACATTCCAAGCACTGATAAGGTTTCTTCCTTGTATGAATTCTTTGATAAGAAGTGAGATGGCTGCTCTGATTGAAGCTCTCTCCACACTCCAAATATTTATGTGGTTTCTCCACTGTGTGGATGTTGTCATGATCTCCCTTGTTCTTCTTTTCCAATTCATCACCACCTATAACAAAGACAGAAATGGATTAGAGCCTAAGGAAGAAATGGAGCTCCAAAATACAGGTTAAGAACGGACCTCCGGAACGAATTAAGTACTTAACCTGAGGTACCACTGTAAAATCAATGCCTTAACCAATTCTCTGCATTTCAATTACATTTTGCTTCAATCAAAAATGGACAGAAGCAGAAGCGAAAACAAAAAACCTGACAGAAACCATTTCAACTTCCAGTGAAATGAGAGCCAGTGTGGTATAGTGGTTAAAGAGCGGTAGATTCGTAATCTGGGGAACCGGGTTCGCGTCTCCGCTACTCCACATGCAGTTGCTGGGTGACCTTGGCTAGTCACACTTCTCTGAAGTCTCTCAGCCCCACTCACCTCACAGAGTGTTTGTTGTGGGGGAGGAAGGGAAAGGAGAATGTTGGCCGCTTTGAGACTCCTTCGGGTAGTGATAAAGCGGGATATCAAATCCAAACTACTCTTCTTCTTCTTCTTCTTCTTCCCTAACTATTGTGAAGCCTACATTTTAAAAGGCCTGGTCAGTTCGGGCAGCGCAGCCTACAGTTAAAAAGGCATAACTGGAGGAAGAATATTCACAGACAAAACAGTCAAAACCCCTCCATTCAAGGTTTGCTGTGGGGATGTCAGAATCTCAGATGTTGTAGGTCGCAACGTTGAGCTCTATCAAAACATGGAAGGTTTGTCACATAGAGATATGGATTGAATTTCAGAACAGATATTATGATCTAACAGGGAGCCTTACCAAGAGAGGCCATGAGCCCATTATTCTCCTCCATGACTTCCTGATGCAGAGCTCTCTGGTCAGGGTCTAGCAATGCCCACTCCTCGTCTGTGAAATGAACAGCGACATCTTCAAAGTACAGTGAACCCTGAAAGAAAAAGAATGTCCTCCTCTCAGACAGCACAAAGACTAGTTGCTACACATTGTTCTGTTGTTTTAATTGGATTTTGTTGCTGCACAATTTAAGTGTGGATGCATCTTTTAATGTCTTAATGGAATTATTTTATTGTGTATTTTATTGTGTATATTTGGAGGGGACCCTGCAGATGCCCTAAAGCCAAGTTCAAGGGGAACAGTGGGCAGGGGAAGGGGTAAGAGACAGGGGGAAATGCCATGGAGCAACTGATGAATCCAGACCACTGTTTTTTATGGTACGTTATTTTCTTAGAAGCCTATTTTAGCATTCACTGATAAACATGGAAAGAAGACTGCAACGACTGATAAATAATGCTAGTGACATTCAGAAGGAGAGTTAGGACGAAGTAGCTGTTTGTTTTTCTCAGCACATAAACATTCTCTAGTGGTATATTCAGCCTTTGTTAAGGGAAGCTTTGACAGAAGGCAAGAGGATAAGAGAGATTCATTCAGGGGCAGAACCACCCTGGCTGCCCCACTCCTGAGCCTCTTTCCCCACAAGGCTCCTTCCCCCTACCTGATCTGTTTCCACAGCCACTGCTTCCCTTCCGCCACCATGAAAAGATGATCTTGTCAGCATCCTTCTTTTACCTGTGAGAGACAAAGGGAAGTGGGAAGCCAGGAGTGCATGATGCTTCTCCCCGGCTGAGTGCGTTTTGATGTTTGTACCCATTTCATATTAGGTGGCCCCAAGTGCTTTCCCCAAAAGATTCAAAGAACCCACAGATAGTTTCAGAATCGATAGAATGTGATCAAACGGAGAATGAACTCCTTCCTCCTTACCCAGCGGCCTCTCTCTGATGTCCAACAAAGTCCTCTCTGCCTCAGAGGAATCCAGGCCACTTTCTGCAAAGATAATCCTTCCCTAAAACAGCAAAAAGGATTCAAAACAGAGAATGGAGAGAAGGATAAGAAAAGGAATCGCAGCGTTAAAATGTAAGGTTATCTGATATACTTCCTTGGATGGTTTCCAAAAAGGGGTGCATAGTTACTAGAGCATTTTGGGATACTCTCCCTCCTGTTCACAGCCCTTTGGGGTATCCAGAGGAAAGTTTCTCTCACCTGCTTCTCCGCCTGCTTCCTCTCCTCTGCCCGACTCAGGAGGAAACCTTCGGCCAGGGCCACTGCCTGGGAACTGGTCTCTGCTCTGCATTCCCTCACCCAGCTTTCTATCTCTGATGGAAGGACAGCCAGTAACTGCTCCAGGATCACCAGGTCCAGCATCTCAGCCTTTGTGTGCCTTTCTGGCTTCAGCCACTGACAACAGAGGTGGTAGAGTCGGCTGCAAACTTCTCGAGGTCCTTTGGCCTCTTGGTAGCAGAACTGCCTGAACTGCTGGCTGTGCACCTCTGAGCGAAGGGTGTCCTCCTCACTCAGAATCTTCTGCATGGAGTTTTTCCAGAATCCCCCACTGCTCTGAGTTTCCATGGCATGGCCTCTTCCTGCTTCAGGGCCTGCTAAGTATTGCTCATCCGTCTGTGCTTTCAGGAAGCCTTCTGGAGATCGAAAGGAATTCCATTTTTCTTCTGCCATGATCTGTCTGTCCAAATTAGAGGTGATGGCAAATGCTACAAAGCAAACACATTGTTCTGTTATTAGTGCTATTTTTCTAGAAAAAGAGGTGCTGGAACTCACTGTGAACACCTCCCCCCTTCTCTTAGAATGACAATGGCACCCACCTGAGAGGTGCCAGAATGGAGTTCTAGTGAGTTCTGGCCACACAAAAAGCCCTGTGTATTATAAAATGGACACAGTGTCAGGAGAAAATAGAGTTTCCCTGGATGAGTCTTGCTAGGAACCAGAGCTGGACAGCACCACAGCCCACACTCCGAGCTTTCTTTAAGAAAAAAAGGGAAGAGGGTGAAGTAAGCCTCTTGCCCTCCTAGAAGGCTGGTCCAAAATGCAGAAGCCCTATTATGGGCTGGGTTTCCTCTCTTTATTAATGGCAGTTCTATCTCACCACTTTTTCTCCAAGGTGCTCAAAGTGGCATCCATGGATCTACCCCACCTCACTGAATCCCCACAACTACCCTTGAGAACAGTTGCATTGGTTGTCAGTTCCTTTGCGGGTCCAATTTTTGTGTTCTGGGTGGGGTTGCGGGAGCTGAACACTCACCTTCATCCTTCCCTGGACCCCCATCTTCCCCCCCCCCATGCACCCTATAGCAGAAGAGAGAAGAGACTGACCAGATCCCAGAAAGTGCAGAGCAGAGAGACAACAGCTGCCCGCTCCGCAGCCCCCCCCCCCTTTGCAGGAAGGGACGTGAGAAGGCTTTGGCTCTGGAGGATCTGCCCCCGCCCTTATTTCCTGTCCTGTCTAGGAATCCAGTTCAGTTCCTTTTAACCCTTTCAAAGCTAAGCATATAAAGAATTGCTTTTCTCTCCCTCTGTGCCTTCTCTCTCTCTCTCTCTCTCTCTCTCTCTCAAGCAGGAACCCAGGAGGAGCCATATGTGTTGCGTACATCCAGAGATGTTTTATTTTGGGGGATCCTCTTGGCTGACGTGCTGTGCTGCTCCTTCCTTGGAAACAGAAACAGGCAGAGCAGCATGCAGGGGAAGAGGCTCTGCGAGACGCAGGAAACTCCATCCTCGAATCATAGGACTGGAGGATTGGACAGGGTCTGAGGGTCATCTAGTCCAACCCCCAATTCAGGAATCTCGGCTAAAGCATCCAGGATAGAGGGCCATCCAAACTCTGCTTAAGAACCTCCAAGGAAGGAGATCCCATCACCTTCTTCCCATCAAACAGCTTTCCTGGTGTTTACTTGCAATCTCTTTTCCTCTCACTTGAAGTAATTAATTGCTTTGGGTCCTCCCCTCCAGAGCAGGAGAAAGCAATCTTGCCCCGTCTTCCATGGTGTGATAGGAATTTTATGGTCTTAGATATATGGTAATGTTCATAACCGCACATACATAGATCACCACAGGAAGACCAACCTGGAACCATTTTGATTCCTAAACTGACCAAATGTTTTCTCTGCAAGGTCAAACTGGAAAAGTCTCCCCATTGTCTCTTTCCTCACAAATCCTGTCTTAAGGACACATGTAAGATATGAATAAGGTGTGAGCCTGTGACCTGGCCCAGGAAATAAGTATTTTACCACTACAAAAGAATGGCCAGGCTCCCCAGGCAATCCAATCAAGTAACTTGCCAGACAGGAGATAAACTGTGACAGGAGAAAAACAACATGCAAATGTTCTGTTTTAGACCGCCTTTTCTGGGATGTTTCTGAGGGGTGGTCTTAGGTTACACCCCTTCTGTGATGTATGCATAATGTTTCTGGGGGTGGTCTTGATCTAGAGGATGGAAATTTCAAAAGTCTTTATAAGCCCTTGCACAGCATTTTTGTGGGTCCTCCTTTCCTGCGAGTGAGGGGAGCACCCTGTTGCAACAGATCAATAAAGATCCAGCTTACTAGCTGCTTTGCTTCTCAATATTCTCTGGTTGGCCTCTGTTATTTTCTCCTACCAATAGGGAACCTATGTAAGGACTCTATATGGGCTCTTGAATACCCCATAAGGGAAAAGGGCATATTTTTATTTACAACAATGGGAGAGCCCTTGAGATATATGAAGGTGGCCATCATTACCACAACCAGATATCAACTGAGTGTTGAGTAGGATGACACTTTGTTCCTGCCTTTTCTGTGATTGAAGATGGGAGACGGCAGAATCATAGAAGCATAGAATTGTAGAGTTGGAAGGGACCACAAGGGTCATCTAGTCCAATGATGGAGAAAATAATAATTTCAGAGAACTGTATATTTGATGGTTTCATTTTCTTTTGAGTCTATGGCCTAGCTAAAATGAAGAGGCCTGGACCTGTTTTTTTACAGCACAGAACTAGTTGCTTTTAGGTACTGTACACAGTGAATGTTCGTTCCAGAACACTGAAAAGAATAAACTGTTAGACTCTATGATGGCCATTGTATGCATGAAAAGAGAATCAGCTAGGCATGGCAGTTGTGATTAATATTGAATTGTTTTGTAGACAGATGAAAAAGGATATTGAGAGACATTTAATGAATAGGAAAATTAGTCAAAGTCTAAATGGGGAAGGACACTGAGATGGGGGCTGATTTGAACTAGGTGATTTTGATTGATTCGCGGTGGCGACACTAGGTTGCGACTATTCAGGTTGCTGTGATCCTTTGATTGGTAAATAGAAATCATTTGTAACATGGAAGTGTATTAAAGTGTGTATCTGAAGAAGTGTGCATGCACACAAAAGTTCATACCAGTAACAAACTTAGTTGGTCTTTAAGGTGCTACTGGAAGGATTTTTTTTTAAAAAAAAATTGCTTTGGATGTTCTTTGCAGCCTTTTTGTAGACGCGGATATTTGTAGACGCGGAGAAAGCCTTTGACAATATTTCCTGGAATTTTATGAAGAAGAATCTTCAGGGTATGGGGGTAGGCCAAAGTTTTGAGAATGGTATAAGTGCAATTTATTCAGAACAAAAGGCTAAACTAATTGTAAATAACGTTGTGACGGAAGAACTTAAAATTGAAAAAGGGACACGACAAGGTTGCCCAATTTCCCCTCTTCTTTTTATCTCGGTCCTGGAGGTGTTGCTGAATATGATTAGAAGGGACCAGATGGTCAAAGGTATACAGGTGGGAACCAAACAATATAAATTGAGAGCATTTGCAGATGACCTAGTATTGACGTTACAGGAGCCAGAATCTAGTACAAAAAGGGTGTTAGAACTGATTCAAGAATTTGGTCAAGTGGCAGGATTTAAATTGAACAAATCAAAAACCAAGGTTTTAGAGAAAAATTTAACACCGTTTGAAAGAGAGAGGTTTCAGAATGAGACAGGGTTAACAGTGGTTAAGAAAGTTAAATACCTGGGGATTAACATGACAGCAAAAATGGGAACTTATTTAAAGATAATTATGAAAAATGTTGGTCAGAAGTGAAAAAGATTTAGAAATTTGGTCAAACTTGAAGCTTTCACTGCTAGGCCGTATTGCTGCGATAAAAATGAATGTATTGCCTAGAATGTTGTTTTTGTTTCAAACTTTGCAGATTGTGGACAAAATGGACTGTTTCAAGAGGTGGCAGAAAGATATCTCTAAATTTGTCTGGCAGGGCAAGAAACCTAGAATAAAATTTAAAATACTAACAGATGCAAAGGAAAGAGGTGGATTTGCCCTGCCAGACCTTAAACTTTATTATGAATCAGCAGCTTTTTGCTGGTTGAAAGAATGGCTACTTCTTGAAAACACTGACATTTTGGATTTGGAAGGTTTCAATAATGTATTTGGATGGCATGCATATTTATGGTATGATAAGGTCAAAGCTCACAAAGCATTTAAAAACCACATTGTCAGGAAAGCGTTATTTAATGTTTGGATAAGATATAAGGATTTGCTAGAAAATAAAACCCCAAGGTGGCTGTCACCAATGGAAGCGAAAGCCTTGAAAAGGGTCAATATGGAGGTCAAATGGCCGAAATATTGGGAAATTTTGGAACAAGACGGAGATAGACTGAAATTGCAGAGTTTTGAAAAACTAAAAAACAAAGTGCGAGACTGGCTTCATTATTATCAAATAATGGAGGCATTTAAATTAGACAGGAAAATTGGCTTCCAGGTGGAAAAATCAAAATTAGAAACAGAATTGTTAGAACCCAATACTAAGAATCTGTCAAGAATGTATAACTTGCTGCTGAAATGGAATACTCAAGATGAAACGGTAAAATCGGCTATGATTAAATGGGCACAGGACGTAGGATATAACATTATGTTTGCTGACTGGGAACAGTTATGGACCACTGGTATGAAATTTACGGCATGTAATGCCTTAAGAGAGAATATTATGAAAATGATATATAGGTGGTACATAACCCCAGTCAAGCTTGCGAAAATCTACCATTTGCCCGATAACAAATGTTGGAAATGTAAAGAAATGGAAGGTACATTTTTTCACCTTTGGTGGACGTGCCCAAAGATTAAGGCTTTCTGGGAAATGATATATAATGAATTAAAAATGTATTTAAGTATACCTTCCCTAAGAAACCAGAGGCCTTTCTCCTGGGCATAGTGGGCCATATGGCGTTACAAAAGGATAGAACTTCCTTTATGTATGCAACAACAGCAGCAAGAATACTCATCGCAAAGTATTGGAAGACACAAGAACTTCCCACGCTGGAGGAATGGCAGATGAAACTTATGGACTATATGGAATTGGCGGAAATGACTGGCAGAATCCGTGACCAGGGAGAAGAGTTGATGGAGGAAGATTGGAAGAAATTCAAAGACTATCTTCAGAAACACTGCAAAATTAAGGAATGTTAGAGTGATGTTGGATTGAAAATAAATGGTTTCCAGTTATACAGGTTAAAGTTAAGGATAGATTAAGATTAAAGATCAAGATTAAGGATGTTTAAAGAAATGGAAATTTGATAATAAAAGGGAAAAATTTAAAGGTACATGACATTAAGAATAAGGATTATGTTTAAAAAAGCTGAAGTTATATATTTTAATATTTTATTAAATTAAAGATTGGGTTCAAAAAAAGTGGAAAAGAAACTGCTGGACAAATAATGTAGATTGGAATACAAAAGAGGGAGGTATGAGGAAGTCTAGAAAATAAGTAATATAAAATTGGGAACAGAAAAGAGAGTTTGTTTTTAATTGTTATGTTTTGTCTTTTTATTGTTAAATTTTGTATTGTTTTTTTTGTCTGTGTTGTTTTTCTTCTTTCTTTGTTTAAAATCTTAATAAAAAAATTATTTAAAAAAAAAAAAAGGAAACTTTCAGGCTGTTTATATTTTGATGCAGATGTTTAGATGCAGGCCCTCCACTAATCCTCAGATGATGAAAATAGGGACATTTCTTTCTCCCAACTGGCCCTCCTCAATGCCAATTTTTTGTTCCTCTCCCTTTAGAGCATTTCCTATCAGAAGAAGGGTGGGCACCACACCAACAGGACCCAGCACAGACACCCTCCACCATCCTGAGAAAACCTCTTAATTCTGATTTGATTTGATTGGTAGATTTACAACAAGACAAACACTCACCAATAACAAAATTTTAGAAAGGGGCATGATTAGACACAGATGCACAAAGCTTTTTTAAAAAAGTTAATATTCCTTGTACTCCGCTCTTTCTCCCTTTAGTCCCACCCAGGGTGGCCCTTCCCTCTGCCTGCTGCTCAGAGCCAGTATGTCATGCAGGACTGGGCAACAGCAGCCTCTCCTCCCCCTCCCCTGCTCTCCAGCAACCGCTAGGAGCTGCCCAAGCTGCCAGGGGAAATAGGGATGTTCTGGGCAGTGGCGAAGCTGCATGGTCTGGCACCTGGGGTGGATAACAGGTGGTGGCATGGCTGGCGCACATCCCAGAGGAGCGTGGTGCGTCGCCCGTGGGGGCATGGCACATGTCCCGGGGGCGTAGCGCATGGCGCAGTGGGGGGTGGCGTGTGTCCAGGGGTGGCCGCGATGGTACCCCCCTCCCCGATGGTGCTGGGGGCTCTGCGCTCACCCCGCTCCTCTGCCAGTGGTTCTGGGATCACAGCAGAAACCAGGATGGCTTCAGGACACTTTGAATGGTGTGTAGATGTTAAATATTTTCTGGAACATATGCAGATGCCTTTATAAATGGACTTGTTGAGCCCTGGGTTACATTGAAGGGTTTGATGCAACCGCAACAGATTATTATTATTATTATTATTATTATTATTATTACTACTATTACTACTACCCCTCCCATCTGGCTCGGTTTCCCCAGACACTCTGAGTGGCTTACAGCACATTCCTCAGGGCAGGCGCCACTACCGAGAAGGCCCTCTGTCTGGTTCTCTGTAACTTCCCTTCTCGCAGTGAGGGAACCAGCAGAAGGCCCTCGGAGCTGGACCTCAGTGTCTGGGCAGAAGGATGGGGGTGGAGACGCTCCTTCAAGTATAATGCGCTGAGGCTGTTTAGGGCTTTAAAAGTCAGCACCAACACTTTGAATTGTGCTCAGAAACATACTGGGAGCCAATGTAGCTCTTTCAGGACCAGTGTTATATGGTCTCGGTGGCCACTCCCAGTCCCCAGTCTAGCTGTCACATTCTGGATTTGTTGTAGTTTCCAGGTCACCTTCAAAGGTAGCCCCACGTAGAGCGCATTGCAGTAGTCCACACGGGAGATAACCAGAGCATGCACCACTCTGTTGAGACAGTCTGCGGGGAGGGAGGGTCTCATCCTGCATACCAGATGGAGCTGGTAGACAGCTGCCCCAGACACAGAATTGACCTGTGCCTCCATGGACAGCTGTGAGTCCAAATGACTCCCAGGCTGGTTCTTCAGGGGCACAGTTACCCCATTCAGGACCAGGAAGTCCCCCATATCTGCCTGCCCCATTCCACAAAAACAGTACTTCTGTCTTGTCAGGATTCAACCTCAATCTGTTAGCCACCATCCATCCTCCAACTGCCTCCAGAAACTCACACAGGACCTTCACTGCCTTCACTGGTTCTGGTTTAAGAGAGAGGTAGAGCTGGGTATCATCCACATACTGATAAACACCCAGCCCAAACCCGCTGGTGATCAGCATGTTGGCTGAAGACAAAAATTTCCAGAGGGAGGTTATATGCAATTTACTCTTTATTTTGATTTTCTATCAAAATTCATCTGCCCCTGCTGCAACAAGGCACGTCTTTCCTATATGGGTGTCTACAGCCACAGCAGGTGCTGCAACCTTCCAATGGTTGGACTTCACCCCCCAAAGAACACTCCTTCATGGTCTCCTGAGACAGATGAATGCAAGGAGGAAGATTGCTAATCTGGGCCCTGCTAGGCCTACGTCTCCGCCATGCACACAGCAGAGCAGCCATGATATATCAAGATGAAGGACACCAGACCTCCTTTGTGTCTAACAAACTGCTTGGAGCCGTGTGCACATATTGGCTGCTTTAGATAAGGTTCTTGGAGACATTGGCCTTACAACTGGGCAGCAGGAACAGCAGCCAGGATCCAAGACAAAGGTGTCAGGCGCTTTGGCAAAGCGGCGCTGAAGGGGCTTCAAAGTTCCCTCCATTCCCTGGAACATTGCTGATCCAGGGCAGTTGGCGGGGGTAGGTTTCCCTGGCTGTTTTTCCTTTTCTGCCTTGGTGCCTGCTTTACTTCACATGCTGTTATGAGGCTGGCAGCCATGGATTGTTACTGATCTAAACCTAGATTAGTTTCACAACCAGATGGGTTGGAGGGGTCAGGCGTTGCATTATTTGCTGTAACTGATAGCTCTGTGCTTGCTGATTATTAGTTCCTGTGCAAATTAAGTTGCATTTAATATAATGTGAAAATAACTTTATTCTTAAATATTTCATCTTGCCTTAATTCCTTTAAATTCAATCTTCTATGCCACTCCTGCATAAGGTTTATATCATTTATCATTCTGTTTCATTTCATTTAATAGATCTGTTGCACACCACCCCAATCTCCAAGCGCTGAGAGTCCCCAGGGATTCCAGGCACTTACCCAGGGTTCAGTTTGGTTGGAATGAAAGCCAGCAGAGACCATGGTGTCTTCAGGATGTGTGGCTTATTTACATATATCTACAACCCAAGCATAGGGTGCTGGGGCTCCCAGCACTGACACCCAAGAAGGTCTTGCTTCTTCCAGCATTGGATTCCAGCAAAAATCCAGCATGTCTCTCCTTCTCTGGCCTCTGCCTGCTTCCAGCCCAGCTCATACACACCCAGCTCTGGCCATTGTCCTTCTCACCACCAGCCAGGTAAGGGAGGGGATCTACCTGTCTGCCCTCTGACACAAAGCCATTCCATTCTTATACTAGTGACCCATATTTAGGGGTCATTATGGTCCTTACCTGACTAATTCAACAAAGGGATCCTCAATTAGATGTTGACCCTTATTGGATCCAGGAATTACGACACAGGCATCATACAGCCTAACTGCACATGCTCTGAGGTCCAAGCACAGTGGGCAGCCAAAGAGGACAGCAGTGTGACTGGGGTGGTGTGAGGGAGGCGCCAGTGCCTCTCAGGGGAGACCTAGCTGGCCCTTCTGAGGTTGAAGGGATCATCAGGCCCCAAAGCCACAAGTGTAACAGTCTTCCTCCCACCCTGCTCATAACAGAGGACACTTTTGGTCCCCCAGAGCTCCAGACTGTGTTTGTGAATTCTAAAGTGTCATAAATAAAAGGCACATTCCTAAGAGCACAAGGTAAATGCACCCACGTAACTGCATAAACCTCATGTCTGAAAATGTACAGCAGCCATGTTTAGCTCCTAGCCAACCTCAGAGACTCCCTCAAGACACAGAGCAGGGAATTCCTAATAGGTTGCCCCTCTGTGAACAGATTTGACAAGGATCTATTGAATGGCCAAGCAGACCTGTTAAAGGAGCAGATATCTGTCCTTGGCAATGGATTCTGGAGTCCAGCTATTCACCATTTCAAAAGGATGTCTCCAACATCCATTAAGTATTTCCAGGCAACTTGATTGACAGACTTGAAATACGTTGGAGAAATATGGACTCTGAGCATGATCTGATTTCCATGTGCAGCCAATTTTGTGATGCACCGGTGATGTGTGTTGGGGTGTTCTTTCTGTGACAGGGCAGTCACTCTCTGAGGGTTTAAAAATTGTAACATGCTTTTGTTTAGGGCTCCCTCACCTCCTTGCAAGGGGGGCAGGCAGGGGTGAGTCTATTGCAGGGGTTGGCAAGGTTTACCTCGCCTGGGCCGGTTCACTCCAGCAGAGATCCCTCCGTGGGCTGGATTGCGTGTGCCTGTGATTTCCAGCATTTGCATCTGCGCAGACGCAATTTCCAGCATCTGCGTCTGCACAGATGCAATTTCCAGCATTGTGAAAGCGAGTCCCCGTGCTGCGCTACACCAGTTTACCACAGCGTGTGGGGACTTGCCGAGCGGGCGGCTTGGTTCGGGGGGGGCTCATGGGACGGTTAAACAACCCCTGTGGGCCACTTGTGGCCCATGGGCCATAGGTTGCCGACCCCTGGTCTATTGCAACAGACCAATACAGATCAGCAGCTTGCCTTGCTTCGTTCCATTTGTATCTCTGACCACAGCAGACCTCCAGGGACCCAAAGTCCCCCCATTTTCCCCATAACATTTGTGGCTGGGGGAAAAGGGTGCCCCCCACTTTTCTGGAGGCCCCTTTCCCCACTGCAGGGGATCTTCGACCCGCTGTGCAGAGTGTGGCAAGGCACCTAGCATCTGGAGACCCCTGCCTGGGGCTCCTTCCCTCTCCCTCCTGGCTCAGTCTCATGGGCAGACGTAGGAGAGGAAGGAGGCAACTTCGTTCTGCACCACGACTTTGCCAGGGTGGATGTTGTCGGGCAGGTAGTGGCAGGAGGTCATGGCCCAGGCATCCACAATGGCCACGCGCAGGCCGGTGAACATGGCGCGCAGCAGGTGGTCCAGCTGCAGGGAGAGCCAGTCGCTGCCGTAGACAGACTTGTAGCCGGTGTTGGCCGTCTTGATGACCACGGTGGTGAGGGGGCTGCGGGCCAAGAGCTGGGCCACAGCTTGCCGCACCCGGCGCAGCCGCCGTATGTAGACCTCCAGGGGGAAGGTGGTGAAGTGTGCCCAGAGCGTGAAGGCCACCACGGTGTCAGGGCCACCGCCTAGCCCATCCAGCTCGTTGGCCAGGTAGTGCAAGTCAGCCATCATGGTCTTGCCAGTGCGCAGAGGGAGACCGTGGGCACGCCAGCTCAACACCAGGCCCCGGGTGGCCTCCACGGCCAGGAGAGGCCCCGACTGGTAAGTGACGTGGAGGTCGATGTGCTGGAGTGCTGGCAGGAGGGGCAGGGAGAGAGGGGGGACAGAGAGAGATTCAGACCCCAAACATCCCTGGGTTCTCCTGCTCTGGGTCCTGCCCACCCTCACAGGGACCCAGAGCAGCTAGAGCAGTGGTTAGGATCACAGAGTAGAAAGGGATCCCCAAGGGTCATCTACTCCAACCTTCTGCAACTCAGGAGTAATGTACTGAAACTTTATTCTCTGGGCTGCACTTTTGGAATAAAAATCTACTCCCGCCACACCAAACTTTTTCATTAATAAGAAATGTGTTGGAAAACCCAAGTTGGATTGTCCTCAGCATTTCTTGAGGCTCTTGCTCTCATTTGGAAAATATATCTATCCATATTCTGCAAATGCAAAAAATGATTTTGATGCTGTACTATACTATAATTTAAGCATTTCTCGAATTGCCCTTGAATCTTCTGCCACACTTGCTATCCTCTCCTGCTGCCCCACTATGGTGCGCCACACCCTTTGAGAACCCGCTCGGTTAGAGTGTTGGACTCAGACCTTGGAGAGACCAGGGTTTGAAGAGTTGCTGGATAGCTCAGTTGGTAGAGCACAAGAATCTTTCACTCAGGGTCATGGGTTCGAGACCCATGTTGGGTAAAATATAGTTATTTGGCCCCTTCCATGCTTCTCCTAGCCCCAGCCATCCATTCCTCCTCTTTCCACCCGGCATGACCAAATGGGACCTCCCTTGTACCCCCCTGCTCATTGTCCTCTTCCCTCCATTTCTTTTTGCCTGGTCTCCTCAGCTCAGCTCAGCTCTACCTGCCTCCGGTTCCACCTGAATGCCCAAAGTGTCCCCCCCTGCCACTGCCCCAGGGGACCAGGCACTCACAAGGGATGAATTCCACCAGGAACTCCCACCACTGGCGCAGGGTGGAGTCTCCAACCATGTGGACGATCTTTCCTTTCAGGCAGCTGAGGGCCGAGTCTGGAGTAGTGAAGGGCCGACTGGAACACAGCAAGGAAACCCAGGTGTCCTGGTAGTAGAAGCCCACCGGGTTGGCGGGGGCAAGGCCAGGGCGGCACGGCTGAGGGGGTGGCGTCACTGCAGGGAAGCGGGCAAAGGAGAGAGATGGTCAGCTCCCACCAGGCCCGAAAAGTGCCACTCTGTCCAAAGAGACAGGAATTCACCATTTCAGAAGGATGTCTCCGACATCTATTATCAAGTATTTCCAGGCAACTTGATTGACAGACTTGAAATATGTTGGAGAAATATGTGACCAGGAAATAAAGGGACCAGGACCCAGCAGGGGGCAACTGACCCCCCTGGCAACTCACCGATGGCCTGCTGGGGGTTGGACAGCACCCGGATAACAGGCACACTCCCTGGGATGGGTTGGTCTGTCACAGCCCTGTGTGGACAGAGAGAAATGAGAAGTGGGGAAGGGGAAGAGGGGCTCCTGCAGGTGCTTCTCCTGGGAAACTCCTGGCTCTAGGGAAGAACAAAGGGCATCAAGGGCCCCCAGAGCCCCTCCAGCAGCTGGTTCCGGCTGCTGACTGACCGTGCTGGTGCATCTCCCTCAGGCACCTTCACCTGCCTCGCCTCCGCCTTTCCTACCTGCTGCTTTTACAGGAAAGGGTCACAGGACGGCTTTGGAGTCAGGGCCCAGAGAGACACTCTGCAGAAGCCGCCCAGGTGGCCCCTGGGAGATGGAGGGGCGCCTCCCCTGCCCTCCCCTCCCCACCCTGCTCTCTGTTGTTTTTCTTCAAAAGATTCTGTTGGGGGTGGGGATATACAAAAATTAATATCAAATATCTTTTTAGAATATCAAACATAAAACAAACAGATCTAAATAAAAGCACAAACAAAAAATGAAAAAGAAAAATAGGAGGGAAAGAAAAGAAGAAAGAAAAAATGAGAACTTCTGATTCTTTGTCTGTCAACTGCATATAAAAATTATTCAAAACATTAGAAAATAACTGGAATTTTTTAAAATATATGATTACAGCAGAGAGACTCTTGTGTGGACAAAGATGGAAGTATTTATTATTGTTTAATATGGAGGTTGTTGAAGTTATTGGAAACAAAGCTGATATGTCTGATTAGAGAAAAACGATTGCTAACGTTTATTAATAAGAATAATTAGAGAACACCTTTTGAACTTCTTGTGTAAAAAGGAAAATGAATTAATCTGTGACATTTGTGTTGGACGTTTCAGGAAATATTGCCAGTTGTAGGTCATTCTAGAGTGAATATTTTGAATATTTTCTTTTATGTAACTGACAGAAAAATAAGTCTTTTTTACTTTCCCTCTCTTTTCCTCTTTTCATTTCCCTCCTTTCCTTTCCTTTCCTTTCCTTTCCTTTCCTTTTCTCTTTTTGTTTTCCTTTGGTGTTTTCTCTTCTCTTTCTCTCGCTGTTTGTTTTCATTTATTTTATTTTCTCTTACTCTGGTATGAAAATGCTTTAATAAAACCTTATAAAAAGCAGAAACAAAACCCCCACCTCTCTCTTTGAAAGACCTGTCTAACAAGCCTCCTGGGCGACTTGGCACCCCCCTCCGCCCCTCTCACCTCGCAAAGAGAGCCTTCTCCCTGGGCGCCAGCACGCTTTTGTAGCGCCCCGACGAGTGGCGCACAAGGGCCGTGCAAGGGTGCGCTTGGGGCCGCGCGCAGAACCAGCGCTCGCCGGTGCCCGGGTCCACGTACTGGCAGGCCGGCCCGGGCGGCGGGTGGACGTTGCACTCGGTCACCTCTTCCTTGCCCGGCTGGTCTGGCTGCGCGAAGTAGCCGGAGAAGGCGACCGTGGAGGGCTGCGAGCGGCGGATGCGGCGCAACAGCGCCACGGCCTCGCTGGAGTGGGTGAGGCGCACCGCCACGCGCACGGCGCCCGCCCACAGCAGCGGGAAGGCCAGCGTGTAGGAGCCGTTGCCGTGGTCCTGCACCGTCCCGGCCGCGGCCGCCTTCAGCTCCGGCGAGTGCACCTTGGCGCGCACGAAGTCGCCCCCGTAGCGCTTGCGCCGCCCGGCGTGGTCGCGCGCCTCCAGGCGCACCAGCAGCGTGTCGCCCACCGTGTAGTTGCGCGGGGCGTGCAGGAGCGCGTAGCCGCTCTTCTCCGGGCTGGTGGAGCTAGCGAACGTCACGTCGGCGGCCTCGGCGGGAGCCGGCCACTCGATCAGCTGGAGCAGCGCCTGCATCTCGCGGGCGTCTGGCGAGGGCATCGGGGTCGGGCGGGTGTCGCGCGCGGGCGGGGGCGCCGACTGGGCCCGAGGCTTCTCGGTGGCGATGATGTAGTACAGCACCTGCGGAGACAGAAGGAGAGCCGTCAGGCGGGCAGCAGAGCGGCGGAAGAGCCTGTGGCTGCTGGCTCGAGGGTGCCTCGAAGGAAAACTCGCGAGCAGGCTCCAAGCGCAGGGCCGTCTCCCCTCCTGGCAGGGCTGGCACCCAGAAGCATAGCTGCCTCTGTAGAGTGCCACGCCTAGCCTTTGTGGCCAGGAGCCATCGAGAGCCCTCTGTGGATTTTAAAAGCCTATTTTAAAGAGGTCTAGAAAGGGAGACCCTCCCTCTCTTTTCCCAGCCCCCACCTCGAAGATTATGGTGGTAGTGAATTAAATTTGTATACCGCCCTTCATCCATAGATCTCAGGGCGGTTTACAGCATAAACATGGCCATTCACATCCTGCACCGGGTCTTTCCGCGCTCCCCACGACGCCTGCTGGCTACCGAGGAGAGGCCCCATACCCGGGCTTTGCGCAGGGGGGTGTCTATTCCCTCTGTGCGTCAGGTGCCTCCAGTGAGGCTGAAGGGCAGATGGATGGATGCTCCTGACACATTTGGATTTTTATGACTTTTTTGTATTAGGCTTCTGCATTCTGGCCATCTTTTAGCGCAGTGTTTCTCAACTGGGGGCCACACGGCTCCCTGGGCCCTCCCCCCAGGATATTCCAAGGGGGCCACAGATGAAAATCGTGTAAATGGGGGGGGGGGGCACGGCACGAGGCGGCGGGGCCAGAGAGAGAAGTGAGAAGTGAAGAAAACAGAAGTGACCTAGAGAAAAAAACAAGAAAAAGACGTTGCTGTTTCTTTGCAAGAAGTGCTGCTAGAGCTGCAGAACGACGTTAGCAGCCAGAGTAACTTTTAGTCAAGAAAAACACCGTTTTTGGATAAAGTGTACAATATCTTTAAAGTTTCCACAGCTTTGGGATAAAGCAAAAGAAAAACACCGTTTTTGGATAAAGTGTACAATATATTTAAAGTTTCCACAGCTTTGGGATAAAGCAAAATTGTTTTCGTGGCATTTCTACGTCTTACTTGGTAGGATAAGGTTTCTACCTGGCCTGAGCAGTCTGAAGGGCGGGGGGGGGGGCAGCAGAGCCTAGAGGAGAGGGTCCCTGCCTAACCCCTTTCCTACCAGCCATTATTCAACTCAATATTATTGCAGGCTGACCCTGCTTCTCCTTAGCCCTGGGAAGCCATGCATCAAGAGAGAAGCAAGAAGGAAGGAAAGCTGAGCTCCCTCAAGGTTCAGCAGACCACCCCCCCCCAACCCTGAGGATGGGACCCTTTCCCAGCCCATTGGGACCTCAAGCCCTGCAGGAAGGAGGGGCAGGGCAGAGGGGGGCAGGGCATCTCCTGGTTAAGCTCCGCTGGTGCCCTTGTGGGGCTGAGTGAACTATGGAAGGCAGGGAGGTGCAATCCAAACATCTGAGGCTGAGGTGCGGCTCTGGAAGAGGAAGGAGCATCCATCATACTCCCAGACAACTGCTTATTATATTTGCTGCAACCCAGCAGGAACAGCGTCTTCCAAGAAGGATCTGGGAAGAGCCAAAGGGAAGGAGGGGAGGGGAGTGCCCGGAGGCAGTGCCAGGCCAACCCATTGAGGAGATGGAGCCCCTGCTAACACACACACACACACACACACACACCAGTTTCCTTTGGGGCAGGGAACAAAAGACATTTTCTCTCAAAAAATTGACCCTGCACAAGAAGCAACTGTAAGGAAGTTCTTGATTTTATTTTTAAAGCAAAGCTACCTTTTTCCTTTTTAATCTTAACTCCCAATTTGGACTGCTCTTACTTTGCTCCTCACACACACCAAACACACAGCAACACCCATCAATTCTGCAAGTCCTCTTCCTACAGAGGGAGAGGGCGGGCAGGGGGACAAATCCCCTCCTCCAAGCTCCAAATCCAACAGGGATTCTGACAGCAAACCACTGCAGAGTGCATTTGACCCCAAAGGAAGAGGTTTAAGTAACTTCTGCCAACTTGGATAGAGGCACCACACGACTCCCCTCAAAGATTCCTGGATTTTGTTTGGGTGAGGGGAAATCTGGTCCAGTTGGGGGTGAACTATGGCTCCCAGGATCCTTGGGGGGAAGCCGTGTCCCTTAAATGTGCACATCCAGAACACTGGCTGAGAAGGGCTGGAGGGGGAGATTAAGCGGCACTTCCCTCTCATCTCCACCAGTCAGTCAAGCTTTTTGCATTTCCCCCCTGCCCACCCAAGTGGCCAGCAAAGCACAAGGTCCCCCCTCAGAACTCAGAAGACCACCCAGCCCAACCCCTTTCCCCGAGAGATGGGCTCTTCCACATCTCATTCCCTTTGGCACCCAGCTCACTTGCCCCTGAAACATTACTGAGCAAAATGTGAGCACTCCAGGCAAACCAAGAGGCAGCTCATAGAATCATAGAATCATAGAATCATAGAATCATAGAATCATAGAATCATAGAATCATAGAATCATAGAATCATAGAATCGTAGAACTGGAAGGGACCCCGAGGGTCATCTGGTCTGTAAGGAATAAAAATGTCTCTTTTTCATAAAAGCATAAAAGGTCAAAAGGCCTCCAAAAGTTGCAGCTTCTGAGCAGAATGTTGCAACAACTCAGAAACCATAGACTCGCTTGGGGACTTATCTTTACTGGCTTGGGGTTAGAATGCCAGAAAACAGGGTGGCTTACTGCTGGAATGTGGTTTAGACACTTCAGCAGGGTAGAACTGGATAGAAGTCATGTGCACCTAAGGGTGGTCAGGATGTGGCTTCATCTCTTGGGAAAATGCATGAGAACACACTTCCTTATTTGGGTAAAATTAATTAAGAGTGATGGTCCCTGGATTTAGAGGGATGGGAGATGTCAATAGGGGCAGAGAGTTTAATATTTTAATTAGGCGGTCCTGATAAGACTGTAACCCCTGTGTGCCTCCACCCAATGGGGAACAGGTGATATAAACTTGTGTTTTACTAAACTGGGGTGTGCCTGCTTTTGGGACACCCAAATCATGAAAGAAACATATATGTAATCAATAAACTAACTTTTTGCTGCTTCACCAATTTTGCTCAACTTTTTATTTAAAGGTCTCAGAATCTTGGGACCGGTGTTTTATATCTCACATAGTCCAATCCCCTGAAATGCAGGAATCTCCACTACAGCATCCAAGACAGATAGCCACACACCTCTGCTTAAAAACCTCAAAGGAAGGAGAGACACCCCCCCCCAATGGGTCTTTTGTAGGTACTTGTGGGAACTTCAGGATGGGAACCCCCCCCCCCCCGCTCAGGTTGCACGTCTGTCTGACACTGTCTGGCTTGATGGCGAATGCAAGTAGTGGGGCTCAGCAAGGACAGACCAGGAACAGGCCCCACAGAGGCAACATGTCCACTCTTGACCCACATCACCATTCCTTTTCAATCACATGCACACCCTAAAGTCAACCCCACTGAGCCCTCCCCACTCCCTGCTGGGGCTTTTTAGTTGGGGGCAACTTGACTTAGCCCAGTGACCAGCAGCAGCCCCAGGAGATGCACAAACCACCACGATGCTCCCACCCGCCCCTCGAAAGACTGCATCCTCCATTCAGCTTTTACCCCCACCCAGGCCTGGTATTTTTAGACAGCATGATACTCCCCCAGTCAACCTGCCCCCTTGACTCACCACCAGCAGGAGGGTTAGTCCAAAGCAGAAAAAAGCAGCTGGTCGGCAGCCCCCAGAAGTCTTCTTGGCCAGGTGCCTCATTGCTTCCTGTGCAGGACGGTCTGTGCTGACAGGGCACGAAGGTGGGAGTGACTTGCTCTCAGAGAGGCCAAGCGCAACCTGCGAGGGGCAGAGAGCAGCCCAGGTGAAGGGAGGAAGGGAGTGGAGCAGTGAGGCCCTGGGTCCAGGGACACGCCTGTCTCCCGCTCTGGACCTTGCAGTGGGACTCTGACAGCCAGGCTACTGACCTTGAGAGGAGGACTCTCACTTCCTGCATTGGATCTCCACCTCAATGGCTGCCTGCCAGGGAAGGGACTTCTGCAAGCAGATCTCCTCCTCCAGGGCCTCCTCAGAGGCCCCTTCCCAGCCCCATCTCTGGTGCCATCTCAGCAACTGAGGCAGAGCCCATGGAGGAGGAGGAAGAGGAGGAAGGCCCCAATATTGTCTGCAGGGCAAGCAACTCTGAACAGTTGCAGAAGGGGCGGAGGAGGAGAGGGTGTCTCCTCCTGGACCGCCTTCTCAAAAGGAGCACCTGAGGAGCAAAGCTCCATTTTCCAGGGAACGGGAACCCCCAGGGAGAGGCAGGGCAGCTGCTGGAAAGCCACGCCTCTGGCTGGGCAGGCAGCCACATGAGTCAATGTTGTACATAAGTAGCCATGGCTCACCTCCTGTGGACCTCAAGGTGGAATTATTATTATTATTATTATTATTAATTATATATTATATTTATATATTAATCCCTGAGAGGCAGGTTGGGCTGAGAGGTAGAGACTGGCTTCATGTGAGGATTTGAATCCTGGTTCTTTCCCAGTTCCTGCTCCAGCCCTCAAACCACTACACCATTGCTTGCTGAGGTTGGGCTTGGGCTGCCAGGAAGTCTGATGGCCAGAGGTGGGGGCAGTGGTTAAGCTACACTGCAGCATCTGGAGAGTCACAGGTGCCCCCCCCAGCCCTCACGCAGCAGCATTCGTGGGGCAGGAAGGTCGCCAGATGAGGGGGGGGGGGCTTTCGAGCCTAGAGTCCCTCTGCTCTGGAAGGAGGCAGAGACCTCTGTGCCTTTTGGGGAGGGGTCTAAAGCAAGAGGGAGGGGCTGCCTCAAGAGGAGCCCCTTTGGGAGGAAGCCTCTCGGTGAGAGGCAGGAGGAGATACCGGCCGGGGAAAGAACTCTGGGAAGAGAAGCTGGAGTCCCCACAATGTTGCTGCGTGAGAGGAAGCTATTCGGGGTGGGGGTGACTGCGGGGTGAGGAGCAGCTGGGAGGAGAGAAAGCGGGCAGTGTCCTGACATCACACACCCCGCCACCGCCCAGTTGATTCACTGCGCTCAGGTCTCTTTAAAACGGTGAGGAGGATTGAGGGTGGCGGGGAAGTGAATTATTCAGCATTTTAAGGAGGGCAAAGGAGCTTTTTTAATGGCCCAGATGTGAGCATATTAGTAGACTGCTTTTGGGTTGCTGTAACTGTTTGTGTACAACTGTACAACTGTTGCTGTAACTGTTTCCACTCCAGTATCCCTGCCAAGAAAATTCCATGGACAAAGACAACAGGCATATAAAAGTTATGACGCTGGAAGATGAGCCCCTCAGGTCGGAAGGCGTCCAACATGCTTCTGAGGAAGAGCGGAGGACAAGTACAAGTAGATTCAGAGCTGATGAATCGGCTGGGCCAAAGCCAAAAGGATGCTCAGTTGCGGATATGTTTGGAAGCGAAAGGAAAGTCCAATGCTGTAAAGAAAAATATTGCATAGTGTCAGGGGTTCAGGGAGAGAGGCACAGGGTAGGCAGGAGATGGAGAGCGATGGGGATGAATTCCAAGCCAGCGAGGAAGAGGATGACAATGACTCAAGAGATTCCATGAGTCTTTCCAGCGAATCAGAGGATTCCCAGATGGGGCGCCGGTGGTTAAGGCCAGGAGCCCCAGGGGGGACGTGTCAGGAGCAGGGGGCCAGCGGAGGATCCCAAAGTGGCAGCTGGGCGTCAGGACCAGCCTCCCCACCAGAGTGCAGCGAAGGGGGTGGAGTTTCCAGTGTGTCAGAGGAAGCAGCTCCGGCAGCAGAGAAAGGAGGGAGGTCAGAGCAAGCCGCCCTTCCGGAAGGGGAGGGAGCAGTGAAGGGAGTAGTGTAACTGTCAAAAGGAAAGTTAGAGGTTTGGCGCGCGCGCCTAGTTCAAATGTAGAGGCGCGCGGAAGTACAGGGAGCCCGGAGGAGGGGCCAGGTCCCAAAGCCCGCAGGAGGGGGCAGAGCAGTCTGGGGATTCCGCGTCAGAGGAATCCAGGAGGGGCGAAACCCCAGCGGGCAGAAGGACCCTGCGGAAAGGAAGGAGAGAAAGAGGTGGAGCAGCGCAAGCCTCTTAAATTGGTGCAGGGGAGGGACGGATTCAGAGGGGACTTCAGCGGTCTAAGCGTAAGAGACGTAAGGCTGCGCGCCTAGGATGTCAAGCAAACAATGAACTGCAATAAACACCTTTGTATATAAGAAGACATAGGCGTTGGTCTTTTGTGAGCTGAGACTTGAGGCAGCTTTGACACATAGGAACCTGGAATGTAAGAACCATGAAGCTTGGTAAGTTGGATGTGGTCAAAAATGAGATGGCAAGAATAAATATTGACATCCTGGGCATCAGTGAACTAAAATGGATGGGAATGGGCGAATTCAGTTCAGATGACCATCACATCTACTACGGTGGGCAAGAATCCCGCAAAAGAAATGGAGTGGCCCTCATAGTCAACAAAAGAGTGGCAAAAGCTGTACTGGGATGCAATCTCAAAAATGATAGAATGATCTCGATACGAATCCAAGGCAGACCTTTTAACATCACAGTAATCCAAGTTTATGCACCAACCACTGGTGCTGAAGAAACTGAAATTGACCAATTCTGTGAAGACTTACAACACCTTATAGAAATGACACCAAAGAAGGATGTTCTTCTCATTATAGGGGATTGGAATGCTAAAGTAGGGAGTCAAGAGATAAAACTGGCAAGTTTGGCCTTGGAGTTCAAAACGAAGCAGGGCAAAGGCTAATAGAATTCTGCCAAGAGAACAAGCTGGTCATCACAAACACTCTTTTCCAACAACACAAGAGACAACTCTACACATGGACATCACCAGATGGGCAGCATCAAAATCAGATTGATTATATTCTCTGTAGCCAAAGATGGAGAAGCTCTATACAGTCAGCAAAAACAAGACCTGGAGCTGACTGTGGCTGAGATCATCAGCTTCTTATAGCAAAATTCAAGCTTAAATTGAAGAGAGTAGGAAAAACCACTGGGCCGGTAAGATACAATCTAAGTCAAATCCCAATGAAAAGGAAATGCAAGAAAGCAAAGTGACTGTCTAATGAGGCCTTACAAATAGTGGGGGAGAGAAGGCAAGCAAAATGCGAGGGAGATAGTGAAAGATACAGGAAATTGAATGCAGATTTCCAAAAAATAGCAAAGAGACAAGAAGGCCTTCTTAAACGAGCAATGCAAAGAAATAGAGGAAAACAATAGAATGGGAAAAACCAGAGATCTGTTCAAGAAAATTGGAGATATGAAAGGAACATTTCGTACAAAGATTTCCATAATAAAAGACAAAAGTGGAAAGGACCTAACAGAAGCAGAAGACATCAAGAAGAGGTGGCAAGAATACACAGAGGAACTATACCAGAAAGAAATGGATGTCTCGTATACCCCATATAGTGTGGTTGCTGACCTTGAGCCAGACTTCCTGGAGAGTGAAGTCAAATGGGACTTAGAAAGCACTGCAAATAACAAGGCCAGTGAAAGTGATGGTATTCCAGCTGAACTATTTAAAATTTTAAAAGATGATGCTGTTAAGGTGCTACACTCAATATGCCAGCAAGTTTGGAAAACTCAGCAGTGGCCAGAGGATTGGAGAAGATCAGTCTACATCCCAATCCCAAAGAAGGGCAGTGCCAAAGAATGCTCCAACTACCGCACAATTGCACTCATTTCACACGCTAGCAAGGTTATGCTTAAAATTCTACAAGGCAGGCTTAAGTAGTATGTGGACCGACAACTCCCAGAAGTGCAAGCTGGATTTCAAAGGGGCAGAGGAACCAGAGACCAAATTGCAAACATGTGCTGGATTATGGAGAAAGCTAGAGAGTTCCAGAAAGACATCTACTTCTGCTTCATTGACTATGCAAAAGCCTTTGACTGTGTCGACCACAGCAAACTATGGCAAGTTCTTAAAGAAATGGGAGTGCCTGATCACCTTATCTGTTTCCTGAGAAATCTCTATGTGGGACAAGAAGCTACAGTTAGAACTGGATATGGAACAACTGATTGGTTCAAAATTGGGAAAGGAGTACGGCAAGGCTGTATATTGTCTCCCTGCTTATTTAACTTATATGCAGAATTCATCATGCTGGGCTGGATGAATCCCAAGCCGGAATTAAGATCGCTGGAAGAAATATCAACATCATCAGATATGCAGATGACACAACCTTGATGGCAGAAAGTGAGGAGGAATTAAAGAACCTTTTAATGAGGGTGAAAGAGGAGAGCGCAAAATATGGTCTGAAGCTCAACATCAAAAAACAAAGATCATGGCCACTGGGCCCATCACCTCCTGGCAAATAGAAGGGGAAGAAATGGAGGCAGTGAGAGATTTTACTTTCTTGGGCTCCATGATCACTGCAGATGGTGACAGCAGTCACAAAATTAAAAGACGCCTGCTCCTTGGGAGAAAGGCGATGGCAAACCTAGACAGCATCTTAAAAAGCAGAGACATCACCTTGCCAACAAAGGTCCGTATAGTAAAAGCTATGGTTTTCCCAGTAGTGATGTATGGAAGTGAAAGCTGGACTATAAAGAAGGCTGATTGCTGAAGAATTGATGCTTTTGAATTATGGTGCTGGAGGAGACTCTTGAGAGTCCCATGGACTGCAAGAAGATCAAACGTATCCATTCTGAAGGAAATCAGCCCTGAGTGCTCACTGGAAGGACAGATCGTGAAGCTGAGGCTCCAATACTTTGGCCACTTCATGAGAAGAGAAGACTCCCTGGAAAAGACCCTGATGTTGGGAAAGGTTGAGGGCACAAGAGGAAGGGGACAACAGAGGACGAGATGGTTGGACAGTGTTCTCGAAGCTACAAACATGAGTCTGACCAAACTGCGGGAGGCAGTGGAAGACAGGAGTGCCTGGCGTGCTCTGGTCCATGGGGTCACGAAGTGTCGGACACGACTAAACGACTAAACAACAAGGGTGAACAAGGTTCAGAAACACAATGCCAGGAACAGAGTCAACAACAACAACAACTGTTTGTGGGACTGTTTCAGTTGCTGCTGTTTTAAGGTGGTTTCATGGTTATTTTGTTTCTTAGAGCCCTGAAGCCAGATCAGGCCCCTCAGCCTGGCATCCTGGCCTCACCATGGCCAACCAGGTGTCCCAAAGGGAAGTTCATTTTTAACTCATTTTGAACTGAACTGAAAGTTGGAACTTCCAGCTGACTCTTTAGTCACTTATAAATCTGGCTGACCCTTTTTAACCTTGAAAAACGGAAGTCTATACTGAGCTTTTTATCCTTTTTCTTTTCAAGGCTTCATCTACCTTTTTAAAATGCAAGCTGACTCTCCAGGTACAGCTGCATTGCCTGGAACTATATGTAATGGTGGAGTTATCATAGAATCTTAGAGTTCAAAGGGACCCTGGTGGTCATCTAGTCCCACCCCCTGCAATGCAGGAATCTCGACTAAAGCATCGATGGCAGATGGCCATCCAACCTCTTCTGGGAAACCTCCAAGGAAGGAAAGGCCACCACCTCCAGAGGGAGACTTGTACTGTTGAACTGCTCCTTCTCCAAAACTTGAATTGTAGTCTGGTTGGCTGTGATACCTCCAGCTTCCCTTCTAGGGTAGCACTGAAAATGCAATTTCTGCAGGCTTCCCACCCCTAAAATTTAGCCCTTGGGGTAGACGTTATTGCAGAAAGTGGCTCATAGCGCCCAGCACCTTTACTCTGCCCTTATGAGCCTGAGTTTCCACTTCATGGAATGAATGAGCGGCTCTTGCCCTCAGCTGCTTGATGCCTTGTCACAGGGGCAGAGACATTTTGACATGCAGCTCAGAGAACAGTCCTCCAATGGGCCACAAAGTGGCTGAGAAACAGAGGAGAGAGTAGGAATAAATGGGCACTTATCCATGGAGAGACGTAGCGTCGCCCAAGGATTGGGAGTGAGGCCTGCACTTTTTCATTTGTTCATTTATTATTGTTGTTCAGATTTGTGTGTGTGTATAATCATCAAAGATAAAAAAACTAATCTAAATATAAATTTAAATCAAAAGGAGTAAAAGAAAAAGGAAGAAAAAGGAAGAAAGAAGAAGAAGGAGAAAGGGGGGAGAAAAAGGGAAGAAAAGAGAACTTCTGATTCTTTGTGTGTCAGTCAGTGTAATGAAAATTTCACTTTTTCATGAAAGGCCAAAAGGTCACAAGTTTCAACAGCTAAGGAAAAAGTTGCAGCAGCTAAGTACCCGCAACCTTGCTTAGAAGCCTTGGGGTTAGGGTTACACTGCCTTGGGATTAGAACACCCAAAAACAGGGTGTCTTGCTGCTAGAATGTGGCACCCTTCAGCAGGGAAGGACTCGTGTACGCCTCTGGGGCAGTTGGGATGTGGCTTTATTGCTTGGGTAATTGTGCAAGAAGAGTATAGGAACAGGCTTCCTTATGAGGCAAAAGTAATCAAGGCATAGCCTTTTATACCCTTTTACTGCTGTTTTTATAGTTGTTTTATTAGACTTTTAAATTATTTTACTTCTGTTAGAAGTTTTTAATCGTTTTACTTCTACGGTTGGCCTGTTGGTGCCAATATACGTATCAACAAGGATATTCAAACCCTCTGCTGAGAAAGCCTGTCGCTGATTAGTAACGCCGCCTTGAAGACTGGGCTATGTTGAGAAGTGGAGGAGGAGTAGCAGAGGAGTTGCGCCCATAAAAGATAAGTTCTCTCTTTTATCTCCGTTTATCTCTACTTTGAACCTCCGTAGTTAGTGAGACAGCGACAAATGGGTCATGGCAAGCGACCAAGATCTGCTGAGAAAGGTTGCTCACCTCCAAGAGTAAAGCAGTCGAAGTTTGAATCTCCCCCACCATCTACTAACAATAACAGCAAAACAGAGCAAGTAATTGTTTCTGCGGTCGAAACATACAACCGCTTTTGGCCTCTGTATGATCAAGGAGAGCCGGAAAAGCTAGCTGATCCAGCGGGGGGACGGAAGCCATGGGGAAGCCCTCCTCCCTGATACCCTAATTACACCTCCGTCATTGAAACGGGACGCATTAGGGCAAACTGCCCATGAATTAGTACCTGATCAAATACAACTGGTAATCAGGACTTTAAGCTTCATTTTCAAGGAATTGGAGGATTTCTTTGACATTGAATAAACTTTCACGGGCCCTTCTGGCTCATCTACCTTCTTCAACTGAGCTATCTAATTTGCATCAATCTCCTGTGCAGCTTGTAAGTGCCTTAAAGAGACAACCTGACCAGAAATTTCACCTTAAGAGCTCAAGATGCAGGCCGCCACTGCCCCAAAGGAATAGGCAATCCTTGATTTTTCAACCTAATAAAATATGTCTAGCCATTTTTCCCGTGACGCCCCCAGACTTAGGTGGAATAACCTGAGGATGGCTAAAGGGTACCTACGTGATTTGTTAAATATTCCTTTTTCCAGATAGATCTTATATCTGTAGTACCCCTAATTGCCACGCCCTGGCCAAGGAAATTTATGCTCTCCTTCCAGTCTGCAAGGATCCCACATCTCCTTGCAAGAGAGAAAGATCGGCTGGCACCCTGGGAGATTGTAACAACAAGAGTCTTTAAGGACACGAGTGTTAAACCTCTTTTGCCAACATCTTAACCGGCAATGAACGCTCGTTTCCTCCTTCTGTTCCTATAATAAAGGGGAAAACACCTAGCTGGGTACCCCCTGCTCCATCTGCGACCTCAAGTGCCCATCTAGCTACACTGAGGAATGATCCAATTGCAAGCGGAGAGTGGAATATCCCTGAAGAGAGAAATCTTATCTTCTCCTATGGAAAACTCCCTTCAGAAGAACAGCAGGCTATTCTCGACAGATTGGATCTACTCAAACAAAGACTCCTATCGCAAGGGGACCCCTCTATGCCGACGAGAGAGGAGAGCAGGCACTCCACGTCCCACAAGGCGTCTCCATCAAATGCCCTGATAATCTCTCAACCTGCTACTTTGTTACCCCCTACTGATCTGAATCAGCAATCACCTGTTGACCAACAGCTCCAACAGCACCATTCTACCGTGGTGGAAGTTGATAAACTCAATACTCCCGTCTTAGACCTTATGTCCAATCAAAATATGGAAGTTGACGATTCCTTTGCCTCAATGCCTGAGCTAGAATCTACCCTGTCTGAAGATCACCAGGCAATGACTATGCATGTACCATCTCCGCGTTCACGTCCTTCTATACATCTGCGTGATAATTCTTCTCCAGCTGCGCAGCAACTACAAGTGATGACTGGAACACCTCCTAGTGCTACCCTGGTTAAGACTGATAACTCTGATGGATCTACTAGTATAGCCCATCAAAGACTTGCTACTACTCACCTCAATGAACAGCATCCGACCTCACCAACTTTGCCTAATTCTTCCTCCCCGGCAAAGCCCTTCCTGCCTGTTAATGTTACCAAATCACGGATTCAATCAACACAGAAGAAGACCTTATCCGCACAAACTAAAATTACTGATTTCCTTATGGGTCCTCGCTCTACCTCCAAGAACCCATTAAACAACTCAAAGTGACAATTACCGGGACAGCACAAGGACCCGACATTATCAATACTTAGCTGGAACATTGCTGGTTGGAGAACCAAAAATCAGACCCCGAATTCAGGAAGTACATAAATTCATTTAACATCATCCTATTCCAAGAAACATGGGATGAGGAAGAGATTACCATAGACGGCTTTGATCTTCTAACACTTCCGGCCTCCCCTTCCTTGAAAGGTGGTCGCCCCAAAGGGGTCTTTTGATTGGGATCTCACTCCAACTTCGCGCCAAATTCACCCTGGTACGGGCTTCCCCGCCTTTTGCTCTTTCTGGACTGATCGCAGAAGGGAAGTCCTCATTATTAATTACTAATGGTTATCTCCCCCGAAGGCTCAGCACCTGATCTTGATTGGAGATGGGAATCATTTGAAAATCACCTATTGTCATGTCATACCAAATGCCCTAACTCGTACTCCTTAATTGGGGAGACTTTAATGCTCGAATTGCCACAAATTGGGACCTACTAATCAAGTCCAAATGGTGGACTCCCCAATGTTTGGGCAACTTTGACTTGGAACATGCTAGAATTAGAACTTCAAAGGACAACAGAGTAAACAAAGCTGGAGTGACCCTTTACCAAATGGCTATTCGCCTGAATCTAGTATTCTTGAACGGCACCTTCCCCCCCGATATACCGGGGGGAGTTCACTCACCTGGGACCAGCATCTAACAGTGTTATCGATTACCTCTTGATCTCCGCAAATTTGGCCGTCAATGTACTTTCCTTCCAAGTTGAAAACCAACATTTCAGTGATCACCTCCCAATAGTGACCACTTTGTCATTGTTCCGGTACCAGAAGGACTATAAACACTCAGTCCCTCTGGAAACCTCATCAGCGACCAAAATAAGTGGGATCAAATGGTCGGAGGCTGTGGCCCAAAAATACCAGGATTTTTCCATAGGGAAATCACTGCCTATCTACCTCAAATAGCTACTGATTTACAAGATTCCAATTCGGTTTTGAAATTTTTAACCTTCTTACAACAAACCTTACCACTTTTTTACATTACCTCCTCAAAAGGCGAAAGTTGCGCATTGCAGTGCTGGGGCCCCTTGGTTTAATACCTCTTGCAAACAAGCAAGATCCCTTCTTCGTTCCATCTATAATGAATACAAAAACTCTAATGCCCAGGCTCTACCATCCTCCTATTTACAAGCCAAAAGAGCATACAAACAGACTTTAAAGCTGGCCAAACGTGAGTGGTATCTAAAGCGTTGGCGAGCCTTGATTGCGGCCTCTAGATCCCGCAGACCACAGGAATTTTGGGCTTTGATAAACAAAAGAGGAAGGAAGTACCCACTGACGATTATCCCTGCGCCCACATGGGAACAATTCTTGAGCAAATATTTCTCCTTGGCAGAGGAATCCAACTCATCCACTGAATTCCGAGCCGACCATCTACCTTTGTGGCCCTCTACCGACCCAGACCTGATAATGGACTTGATATTAGATCTGAAAACGGGCAAAGCCCCCGGGCTGGATCTAGTCCCTGCTGAGGCTATTGTTGCGCAACCGAGGTGGTGGGCTGAAATCCTGGCCAAAGTCTTTGATGCAATTAATTCTACGGGGCTTATCCCTAGGTCATGGAAGGAGGCCGTGATCGTGCCAGTCCATAAAAAGGGTCCCCCTGCTGACCCGGAGAACTATCGGAACATCAGCCTTTTGTCTATCATCGGGAAAATCTACGCAAAATTTTTGCTGTCCAAGCTGTCCAATTGGGCAAACGACTCAAATTTGATTGGCCACGAGCAAGCGGGCTTTAGGAACAATTATTCGACCATTGACCATATGGTAATCATGTATCATCTTGCCAGAAAATATTCTGCCCCGAGTCGGGGGGCGCCTATGTGTCGCTTTCATAGACCTAAAGGCCGCCTTCGACAGTATCCCAAGAAACTGTCTATGGAAGAAATTAGAGAGATGGGGCATAGATAGAAGGCTGTTATGGCTTATAACCCAATTACACCATGGGTCGTCGGCTAGAGTGAGACTCACACCGGCGGGAAACCTATCCAACGAGGTCCCAATAAATAGAGGTGTGCGCCAAGGTTGCATTTTGGCCCCACTCCTCTTCAACTTGTTTATTAGCGATATGAAGCTCTTTCTGAATGAGTCTCAAGCCAACATTCATGCCCCCGCCTAGCTGATTTTCGCTGCCCTCTGCTCTTATATGCCGACGATGCAGCGATCCTTTCCTACTCTAGAGTCGGTTTATGCAGAGCTCTAAAGATTTTTGCGGCTTATTGCAAACTCAACCATCTGACAATTAATCATGGGAAATCTAAAGTCCTGGTCTTTACCAGGTCTCGGAAAACTTACAGCTGGAAGTTAGATGGAGTCCAATTAGAACAAGTTTTCAAATTTAAATACCTGGAAGCCACAGATACAGTATTTACTAAACAAAGGGAAAACAATACTTTATACTCTACTCCAATTTTTGCGGCCGACGGAGCCTCCCACATCCCTTCTGCATTGAAGGTGTACCATGCAAAAGTGGTTTCCACCCTCTGTTATGCTGCCCCGCTCTGGGCCCCAGGGTCCAATTTAACATCGTTGGGGACATTGCAGAATCAGTTTCTCCGTCGCCTCCTGAAACTCCCCATGTGTGTGAGCAACGCAGCCATACGTCTGGAGTTAAGGATTGCATCATTGGAGACGGTCATCTGGAAGCGAGTCTTTGGTTATTGGCTGTCCAGCTGGCACAGGCTTCCCAACCATTACCTTTTCAGTGCCTCTGGCGGGACGACTTTGTCAATCCGTGGGTAGGAAAAATCCATGCCAAACTTCTGAGCATTGGAATTTCCCCAGCGGACTCCTTAAAGATGAACTTACGCTCAGCCAAAAGACTTATTGAGCAGAGATTAGCAGACATTGAAAATCAACACAACCTCGCCGGTGGTGAGGGTGTCTGCTCCCCAGGTATCACGGAATAACCTCACCACTTGGCCTTCCATCATACATGTCATCTCTTTCATCTGTACCACACCGACATGCATTTATTCGTGCAAGGTTCAATGTCTTTCCATCGAACCTGCTGAGCCACAGATTTTCCAAGGGTTTGGTGTCTCCGCTATGCGTGTGTGACGGGAAAACTGTTGATTCTCTCTCACATATAATGTTCAACTGTCCCCTACATAGCATAGCCAGGACTAAATTCCTGGGCCCTGCTTTACTGCGCTTGGTTGGCAGGCCTGCTGAGTCACATGCCGCACTACTTTTGCAGGATACAGATCCTTCTGTAACTCTGCAGGTGGCGAGATTCCTGAATGCAGTTATCTCACACACAAAAACCACCAAAAACAACAACATCAAAAACTAATCGGACAGTTTTGAAGAGAGTGCATGTCGGATCTCGTCTTCAGTTCTCCTTTTCTGGGATCCGTCCCTTGGAGCTCTCCGGGCCCCAAGCTGTTATCTGGCTCTGCTCAATGACCCACCCCTGCACCATGGTGTTCACCTTCTGGTGCCGAATATATTAGTCTTTATGCCTCTGTGCTTTTATGTTTGTACATACTTTATGGGCTAATAGCCGTAAATAAATAAATAAATAAAAATCAAGGCACAGAACCTTTTAAATGGATGCTGGGGCCAGTGAATGAGCCATCCACAATTCAGAGGGCAGGCATCTCACACCTTTTATTTAAACCTTAACAACAGGAGGCTAATCTCACTGTGCTAGCATCATTCAAATTCACCACAAGCAACATGCAAGGTGGGGGGGGGGGGAGGGCAGCCCGGACATTTAATCTTAAGTCTTTTTAGCTGGAAGGGGGAAACCTTTCACATTTGGCCATTCTAACCTGTTGCTTTGGCTCTTGTACATCTTCTTGGCTGGACCCTGTCTGTCCTTTTAATAATAATAATAATAATAATAATAATAATAATAATAATAATAAATTTTATTTATATCCCGCCCTCCCCAGCCGAAGCCGGGCTCAGGGCAGCTAAGAACAATAAAACAGTACAAAAGTACAGCATAAACAACACTCTAAAATCATTCATTATAAAATTAATTAATTCTAGCCACTGGCAACCATTGGGCCAGAGCTCCGCGAAGATTGCCGAGGGAGGGAGTCAGACTGTGCCTTGGCCAAAGGCCTGGTGGAACAGCTCTGTCTTGCAGGCCCTGTGGAAAGATGTCAAGTCCCGCAGGGCCCTGGTCTCTTGTGACAGAGTGTTCCACCAGATCGGAGCCACAGCCGAAAAAGCCCTGGCTCTAGTCGAGGCCAGCCTAACCTCTCTGTGGCCTGGGACCTTCAAGATGTTTTTATTTGAGACCGTAAGTTTCTCTGTGGGGCATACCAGGAGAGGCGGTCCCATAGGTACGAGGGTCCTATGCCATATAGGGCTTTAAAGGTTAAAACCAGCACCTTAAATCTGATCCTGTACTCCACCGGGAGCCAGTGCAGCTGGTATAGCACCGGGTGAATGTGATCTCGCAGCGAAGACCTCGTAAGGAGTCTCGCTGCAGCATTCTGCACCTGCTGGAGTTTCTGGGTCAGTCTCAAGGGCAGCCCCACATAGAGCGAGTTACAATAATCCAGTCTGGAGGTGACCGTCGCGTGGATCACAGTGGCTAGGTCAGGGCGAGAGAGGTAAGGAGCCAACTGCTTAGCTTGGCGGAGATGGAAAAATGCCGCCTTTGTTATAGCTGCAATCTGCGCCTCCATGGAAAGGGAGGTGTCGAAGATTACACCCAAACTCTTAACGGACGGTGCTGGCACTAATTGCGCCCCCGCAAGAGATGGGAGTTCCCCCCCCAATCCCATATCGCCCCGTCCCAGCCACAGGACCTCTGTCTTCGAAGGATTTAGCTTCAACCGGCTTCCATGTAACCATCCAGCCACAGCTTCCAAACATCTGGTCAGTGTGTCTGGGGCCGAGTCAGGATGGCCATCCATCAACAGATAGAGTTGGGTGTCATCGGCATACTTTTATCCCCATATATTTTCTTCAGTTGGTCTGAAAAATCCCTATTTGTTTGTTTATTGAATTTACTGAATCTATACCCCACCCGTCCTCCCAAGGGACCACAGAACAGCAACCCCCAAGTGCTAAACCAACAAATACACCTCTCAGACATCTCAGAAAATGTCAGTTCCCTTGCAGATGTGCCTCTCCCTTGGCATCCGCCAGCCCTTATCTGCTCTGGTTCCTGGTACCTGGCTGGTTCTATAACATCAGCAAGCTGATCAACGTTGCTTAGCAGCAGTGGCATAGGAAGGGGGTGCAGTGGGTGTGGTCCGCCCCAGATGTCATCACTGAGGGGGGTGACAAAATGGCAAAAATATGTGTTTTTAAAATAAGAAAAAAAGTTTTTAAGTGCTTATGCTCACAATGTTAAGTAAATAAACCAGAAAACAACGCTTGCAACTGTAAGTATCTTATTTTTCCTTCTTTTAATAATTTCAAGTTGGGAGATGACAAGAAATTTTCCTCACCGGTTACCACCTGACCTTGCTACACCCCTGCTTCGCTCTCCAGGCTTACTCCCTGCACATCCAGGCAAGGCCTCTTACTTGGGTGGGAGAGCGAGGGTGCTTTATCCAGGCATCTAATGGGACGAGACAGACAGCAGCCCCGACATTCAGGAGCGGCATTCCAAGAGCTCAGGAACAGAGCAGGAAGGTCTGAGCTGCTGGATGGAAGCAGCAAGGAGGTCCCTCAGCTGTACTTGAGGGATGATTCCAACAGATTCCACATGAAAAATGCTTTTGTCCCTGTGGAGATGGCAGTCCCAAATCAGTGGCGCATGCCCTTCTGGCTTGCACTCTTTATAAAGACTTGAGGAATGAGATTATCACCCCTCTTTTATTCTCCATTCCGGGTCGCCCAACCACTGCCACACTGTCCTTTCTCTTGGCAGATCAAGATGAGCAGGTGACAGCAAAGGTTGCAAGGTTTTTAGCTGGGCAATCAGAATAAGGTCCACCATTTGACTATTGATTCAAAACCCCAAAATGTATTTTATATAACTGACTTTTTATTTCTATTCTTCGTATATTGTATTGTTGTTTTATTGCTATGGCCGATGGCTGACACAAATAAAGATTCATTCATTCACAGGAAACTCCCTTCCCCAACTGCAAGTGTGTGTTCTCCTGCAGTGGGTCCTGGTTCTGTTCAGTGACTGCTGCCTCCTGCCCAGCTTCTCCCCTCATCTGGTCAAAGGCTTCTCTGCCCCCCAGACTTCCCACACTGCAGGAAGGTTGGAGGGAAGAGCTAGCATCCCAGCACCCCCTTCCAAAGCAACTGTGGGCTCTGGATCCAGATGGTGGAAGGCAGGATAGGATCCAGACCCCAGAAGCAATAATAATAATAATAATAATAATAATTGTCAGGGCTGCCTCAAGTCTCAGCTCACAAAAGACCAACGCCTCTGTCTTCTTATATACAAAAGTGTTTATTGCAGTTCATTGTTTGCTTGACATCCTAGACGCGCAGCCCTACGTCTGCTACGCTTAGACCGCTGAAGTCCCCTCTGAATCCGTCCCTCCCCTGCACCAGTTTAAGAGGCTTGCGCTGCTCCACCTCTTTCTCTCTTTCCTTTTCCGCAGGGTCCTTCTGCCCGCTGGGGTTTCGCCCCTCCTGGATTCCTCTGACGCGGAATCCCCAGACTGCTCTTCCCCCCTCCTGCGGGCTTTGGGACCTGGCCCCTCCTCCGGGCTCCCTGTACTTCCGCGCGCCTCTACATCTGAACTTGGCGCGCGCGCCCAGCCTCTAACCTTCCTTTCAACAGCTACACTACTCCCTTCACTGCTCCCCTCCCCTTCCGGGAGGATGGCTTGCTCCGACCTCCCTCCTTTCTCTACTGCCGGAGCCGCTTCCCCTGACACACTGAAACTTCCACCCCCTTCGCTGCACTCTGGCGGGGAGGCTGGTCCTGACACCCAGCTGCCACTTTGGGATGCCCCGCTGCCCCCCTGCTCCTGACACGTCCCCCCTGGGGCTCCCCTGGGCTTGACCACCGGCGCCCCCTTCTGGGAATCCTCTGATTCGCTGGAAAGACTCATGGAATCTCTTGAGTCATTGTCATCCTCTTCCTCGCTGTCCTGGGATTCATCCCCATCGCTCTCCATCTCCTGCCTACCCTGTGCCTCTGTCCCTGAACCCCTGACAATAATAATAATTTATTATTTATACCCCGCCCATCTGGCTGGGCCTCCCCAGCCACTCTGGGCGGCTTCCATAGAAACCAAAAATACACTAAAATATCACACGTTACAAACTTCCCTGAACAGGGCTGCCTTAAGATGTCTTCTGAATGTCAGGTAGTTGTTTATCGCTTTGACATCTGCTGGAAGGGCGTTCCACAGGGTGGGCGCCACTACCGAGAAGGCCCTCTTCCTGGTTCCCTGTAGCTTTGCTTCTCGCAATGAGGGAACCGCCAGAAGGCCCTTGGCGCTGGACCTCAGCGTCCGGGCAGAATGATGGGGGTGGAGACGCTCCTTCAGGTATACTGGACTGAGGCCGTTTAGGGCTTTAAAGGTCAGCACCAACGCTTTGAATTGTGCTCGGAAACGTACTGGGAGCCAATGTAGGTCTTTCAAGACCGGTGTTATATGGTCTCGGCGGCCGCCCCCAGTCACCAGTCTAGCTGCCGCATTCTGGATTAGTTGTAGTTTCCGAATCACCTTCAAAGGTAGCCCCACGTAGAGCGCATTGCAGTAGTCCAAGCAGGAGATAACCAGAGCATGCAGCACTCTGGAGAGACAGTCCGCGGGCAGGTAGGGTCTTAGCCTACATACCAGATGGAGCTGGTAAACAGCTGCCCTGGACACAGATTTGACCTGTGCCTCCATGGACAGCTGTGAGTCCAAAATGACTCCCAGGCTGCGCACCTGGTCCTTCAGGGGCACAGTTACCCCATTCAGGACCAATAATAATAATCATTTTATTCTTTATATGCCGTCCATCTTACTGGGTTCTCCCAGCTACTCTGGGCAGCTTCCAACAAAATATAAAGGAAAACACACACACACACCCCAACCATTTAAAACTTCCCTGCCTCCAGATGTCTTCTAAAAGTCATGACATTGTTTATCTCCTTCACATCTGAAGGGGGGGAGACATCCCCTGTAACCTCACAATGAGGGAACTGCAGAAGGCCCTTGGAGCTGGACCTCAGTGTCTGGTCTGAAGTGTCACCTCAAGTCAGAACTGCTCCAGTGACCCCCCCCTTGCCCCCTTGCATTTCCTTACCCTGGCACAGGCTGTGACTTGGACCCAGGTGCAAAGCGATCAGCCACTCAGACCACAGGGGGGCTGTGGACTTGGTGTGGCATTCTGGGGCATCCTCAAAGCGTATCTGTCCTGGCAATGCTTGGATAGTGGCCCTGGCCCAAAATACCAGGATCAAGGCAGGTTTTTAATGTAAGTAATAAAAGGGACAGGTTGGCAGAGCAGATGTCTGGCATGCAAGAGGTCTCAGGTTCCACGGAACGCCCTCTAGGGAACTGCTGCTGCCCATCAGTGAAACTGATTCTGAGCTAGATAGAACCATGGAATTGGGAGGTGGAAGGCCATCTAGTCCACCCCCTGCAATGCAGGATTCAAGATCGCCTGTCTCAGCACAAGGCAGCTCATCCCTACAGTTTCACCTCCAACAGGAGATCTTCCAAGAGGAAGAAATGAGTTGTTTGAGGAGGGATCAGTTTTATACTACCTGTATTTAAGAATCCATTAAGTGGCTTGCAGTGTACAGTGAAAATATCACATAACAACATATATAATAGAAGTAAACACATACATAGCAGTTTGAAAGCAAATCTTTAAAAGATCAGATCACACAAATTCAGTCTGGATCGTAAAACAGCTAAGTCACACTTCAGAGGAAGCTCCGTCAGAGAGAAAAGTTGTCTGAGGAAGCTTCTAGAAGCAAGAGCACCAGTTCAGTCAGGAGAGGGTTGCAGGCGGCTGGAGCCACAGCATGAAAGCCCCATAGAATCATAGAGTTGGAAGAGACCACAAGGGGCATCGAGTCCAACCCCCTGCCAAGCAGGAAACACCATCAGAGCACTCCTGACATATGGTTGTCAAGCCTCTGCTTAAAGACCTCCAAAGAAGGAGACTCCACCACACTCCTTGGCAGCAAATTCCACTGTCGAACAGCTCTTACCCCAATTTCTAGCTAAGAACATAAGAAGAGCCTGCTGGGTGCTATGTGAAGAATCGACAGTAAATTCCAGGGAAACGGATGACTCTGGAAAATGTCAAGTTTTTCAGGTGGCCCCTTCCAAAGTCACTCATTTAATTGTGGATAATGAAATCAAACACCAACTGCCTCCTTTATCAAGTGGCATCTCTGTATTGTTGCGATTTAATCAGGGACTTGCAAGCTTTTGAGTATTAACCCTGAATGACTAATCCAGCCCTGCTTAGCTGTTGGGGATGAGCCCAAAGAGCCCGCCTTGTGGCAGGTGCTAAGCACCCTCCGCGCTGCGCAATCCTGTGTGTGCTGGCTTGAAGGCAAGCCCTGCCAGATGCAGCAGGACTTGCTCCCACGAAAGTGCACACTGGACTGAAGTCAGGAGGTGCAACATTTCCTCCTGGGCCTCTAACAGCAGCCGGCTTGGCAGAAATTCAACAGCTGAAGCTCCTTCGTGTCAGTGTGGTGGGGAGGGGAGCAACTTCCAAGCTGAGTGTCTTGCATCATGCTCTCCGCTAGGACCCCAAATTCTTGTTCCTGGTTGGTCATCGCCAATTCAGACCCTGTTCACATCTATATGAGGTTCAGATTTTTTGCTCCGGTGTGCATGCACTGCATGGTCTGCATTTGCCATTTTATTGCCAATTCACCCGGTTTGGAGCTATTCATTGGGAGGACAGTCCATTTATTTCTGCTCTCTGCTTCTCATGAAAAACTTTTTGAAAGCCTAAACACCAGTGCTATTTTTCTAGAAAAAGAGGTGCTGGAACTCACTCTGAATGCGTCCCTTATTATCTTATAATGGCAATGGCGCCCACTTGAGAGGTGCTGGAGCTGAGTTCTGGCTGAAAGAAAGCCCTGCTAAAGACAACGTTGACAGACCCACCTCTGCCAGTATACTTGTTGACACACTCAAAGAACTTCAAAAGGTTTGCAGGACAGGACTTTCTAGGCAGAAGCCATGCTGGCTCTGCTTCAGCAAGGCTTGTTCTTCTATAATAATGCTTTCCATCAGTTTTCTCTGGACAGTCATTAAGCTAACAAGTCTGTAATTTCCAAAAGCCCCACCCATGGATCCCTTTTGAAATATGGTGTTACACTGGCCAGTTCAAAGTCCTCAGTGATGGAGGCTGATCTGAGGGGCCAGTCGTACATTTTTGTTTTTTAAAAAAGCAGCAATTTTGCATCTGAGTTCTTTGGAGTGGATGCCATCCAGGCACAGGGATTCATCGGTGTCTATTTTGTCCATCAAGTCTAGGACCCAGTCCTTTGCCACCACCATCTGCCTCAGCTCCTCAGGCTCCCATCCTGCAACAGGGACTTTGGGATAGGGACCTGTCTGGCAGCTGTGCATCAGCTGAGCTAGAAAAGAGGGAGCAGTTGTTCAAAAAAATCACTAAGATCTTAAACTGCCACATTATCCCAGCTTCTCAGTTTTAGCACTTTTACCTACATTTGATGAGGGTAACCAAAATCTGCACTGTAAAGACTTGAAAGGGCACCTGCTTATAGCGGTTAGGACCAACGCTAGAGTTTTGGGAAAAACTAGATGGGGCCAATTTTACTACTTGGTACACTGAAGCGTGGGAGATTGCCCTGCTGGGAAAACTAACTGATAAGCTGAGAGTCCTCAGGGTCAAAGGAAAAAGGACTATTTTATACCTGTTTGGTCTGACTTAATTCATTTTTCCATGGTTTTCCCAGTAGTGATGTATGGAAGTGAGAGCTGGACCATAAAGAAGGCTGATGGCCGAAGAATGGATGCTTTTGAATTATGATGCTGGAGGAGACTCTTGAGAGTCCCATGGACTGCAAGAAGATCAAACGTATCCATTCTGAAGGAAATCAGCCCTGAGTGCTCACTGGAAGGACAGATCATGAAGCTGAGGCTCCAATACTTTGGCCACCTCATGAGAAGAGAAGACTCCCTGGAAAAGACCCTGATGCTGGGAAAGATGGAGGGCACAAGGAGAAGGGGACGGCAGAGGACGAGATGGTGGGACAGTGTTCTCGAAGCTACAAACATGAGTCTGACCAAACTGCGGTAGGCAGTGGAAGACAGGAGTGCCTGGCGTGCTCTGGTCCATGGGGTCACGAAGAGTCGGACACGACTAAACGACTAAACAACAACAACAACAATTCATTTTTTAAGCAAAGAGGAATATGTTCGAAGACCCAAAAGTGAATCTGGCTGATACAGTGACTTTGGGCATTTGAATACTTTCATTGAATAACTTTGCCTTCTTCAGTAAATAATTACAGTCCCTCCCTTCTGCACATTCACATGCCTTTAGTTATTTATTTTGGTTTTATTCCATAAGAACTCCCCCCCCCCCCAGCTTTGCCTCTCCGCACTACGAGGCAAAGACAAAGAGCCACCGCTGCACATTACCAAATGTAATAATTCACTATACTGGCTCAATGGGAAAACTTGAAATTCATATAAAACTCATATAAAATCACTCTAATTATGGATTTACACCATTCCAACATTGTTCTAATCAGAAGGAAAATGGCTACCAGAGAAGCTTGGGCTATGGCATGGGGCAGCCATAATCCCTGAAGTGTGAGACCACATACTCAACAGACCACTGCCTGGGTGATAATTGCTGACATCCTGGTACCAGAGTGCCAGACAGGTATTCATTCTGAGACCAACAGCATGTCCAACCTCAATGGATTGGACTGGGAAACCGAAACATGTAAATACTTACCCTTGTTTTACCTAAAGGGTGTGTTATAACCGGGGGGGGGGGGCAGCTAAATGACTTCCCCAAAATCCCAAGTCCCTACCACAGCCTCTAAAAAGTAGTCTATAAAACTGTAGCAATAAGTGTAGCAATAGCAAATGTATTGTAGTGTTTTCCCTGACTATCCAATATAGAATCAAATAATCACCAAAATTCAACAGTTTGCCCCATTTCCTTGGCTCCAATGGCTAATGACTCCTCTGGAAGTGGGGAATCCAGGGCTTCCCCAGCCTCCATAATCCCTGAGGCATAGAGTCACTTACATCTCCCACCTCCCTAGGGAAAAGATAACAATGGACCAGACAGATATCCCTTGATGGAGTTTGCAGAAGCCAGGTGTTCACAAAGCCCATCTTCAGGAAAGGATAGGTCTAAATAGTTTTATTGAATAATTGACTCCTGTTACCATGCAAGATTCCCTCCTTCTTGGTGACACATTGGTGATGTATTGATGATGTATTGATGATGTATCTGGAAATGTGTTATGGAAAGTGAGGGAAGGTCTTAAAGGTCCATGCAACCCCATGCTTGGGGTTCCTACTCTGTGTGTGTTTGAACCTTGTTGCAACAATAAGGATTAGGTCTACTGACCACTGATTTGCTTCTTTACTTGGCTGGAGATTCCTTCTTTCGCTGACAAGGAGAGCTGGGTGGCAGAGTAAACCTGCACCCAGAATTTTTCCGTAACAGGTAGGAGGTAGAGGTCACGCGAGGGACAGGGCAAGCCTGGTGCTCAGCTTTCTGCCAGAAGACACTCCCAATTTATGACACAGTTATGACAAATGTATGGTGTTGTTATGAGAAAAAACTGCTCCTTTTCCCTTATGGGATACCCAAGAGCCCATACAGAGTCCTTTTGTAGGTTCTCTATCGGTAGGAGAAAATAACAGAGACCAACCAGAGAATATTGAGAAGCAAAGCAGCTAGTAAGCCTGATCTTTGTTAAAGCTGTTGCAACAGGGTGCTCACTCACCACACGCAGGAGGGAGGGAGGACGCAGAACAAAGGTGCACCCGCCCTTATATAGACTTTTTAAATTGCCCACCCTCAAACTCCAGACCACCCCCAGAAACATCATACATCACAGAAGGGGTGTAGCCCAGGACCACCTCCCCCAATACATCTAAAACAGAATCCTGAGTGTGTTGTTTATTTCCTGTCTGCCATTTACCGTATTTTTCGCCCTATAGGACGCACTTTTCCCCCTCCAAAAATGAAGGGGAAATCTGTGTGCATCCTATGGGGCGAATACAGGCTTTCGCTGAAGCTTGGAGAGCAGGAGGGGTCGGTGCGCACCAACCCCTCTCACTCTCCAGGCTTCAGGAAGCTATCAGCAAGCCTGGGGAGCCCGCGGGAGTTCCCACAGGGCTCCCTACGCTGCGGATAGCAGCCTGCCACCTGGCGCGCGGGGCACCCTGAAGCAGAGCGCCCCGTGCGCCGGGCAGACATCCGCAGCATGGAGCATGGAGTTTCCAGACCCTTGATCAGCCTGTCTGCCCTCCTCCGCACACATCCCAGCTTGTCAACATCCTTCTTAAATTGTGGTGCTCAGAACCAGACACAGTATTCCAGACTCTCCAAGTGTCCCTATTTTCCAGGGACATCTCTGATTTAACCCTTCCCAGTTTCTGATTTAATCCTGGAATGTCCCACTTTTCCTTAAGATGTCCCTAATTTCATTGGAGAAAAGTTGGAGGGTATGAAGTTATCTGACCCCCCCAAGCTGTCTGAAGGCAATCCTGTATAGGGAAGGAGCTTTTTTAGTATTTAATGTTTTATTATGTTTTTATATATGTTGGAAGCTGCCCAGAGTGGCTGGGGCAACCCAGCATGATGTGTGGGGTATAAATAGTAAAATTATCATTATGGAATCCGATGTCCCTATTTTCATCAGTGAAATGTTGGAGGGTATGGCATTCCAGGTGTGATCTGACCAAGGCAGAAGGCCTTGCAAAAACCTTTAGTAAAAGCTAAGTTTGTTTTGGTTTCACTTTGCCACCAGCCTCATTATTCACCTCGTGCTGAGCTGCCTTTTCCAGAACAGGCCAGGGAGGAAGGCGTAGGCGCCAACTCTCTGGGGCACCCACAAAATTCCCCTGAAGGGGCCCGACACCTACAAGTTTCAGTGCCAAGCTGGCACTCCTGGAGGAAGGTAAAGAGTTTGGCATCGACTTGGGGGCAAGAGGCAGCTCTGTCCTGGATGCTCTCCTCCTGAAACCAGTGTTTCAAAGAGAAGGTGGCCTTCCTGCGGGGACCTGCCTTTTCACTCCCACTCCTCACTGCCCTCAACACACTGCAATGTGGAATATTTGGCAGCTCCAAATAATATCACAGCCCATGCCAGTTACAACCCTAGACTTGTAAAGTTGGAAGGGCCCCCAAGGGTCATCTAGCCCAACCCCCTGCAATCACAGCTAAAGAATCCGTCACAGTTCAGGAGCAAATTCAACCACATGCCAGCAAATTCAGGGTGCACAATCAAGCCCATCTGAACCGCTTGCCAAACAAGCCCACTTCTCCCCAGAGTCCAGGCTTTTTGCTATATGGAGATGGCAAAGCTATAGAATCCTAGAATCGCAGAGTTGGAAGGGAATTCACCCTGGCAAGGGAGGAGTCTCCAATCAAACATCCATGGCAGATGGTCATCCAAGGGACCCCCAAGGGTCATCCAGTCCAACGCCCCACAACACAGGAAATGCAACTGCCTGGAGGCCCCCCCAAACCCTAGCTCAGATGACCTTTGGGGGTTCCTCCACAATTCTATTGTAGCCTTCTTTACCTATGGGTCTGGGTCCAGTCACCTCGTACCCTCGCCAGGAGCATGAAGGAGTTAAGCAACGCCAGGGTGTGATTCCACAGAGAAAAAGTTTATTCGGTTACTGCGCAGCAGGTACCAGCGGAATTGCTTCCAAAGTCTGGCACACACATACAGGTCATGCAAAGCCTTTTATACATTGGTTTCTTCGCCCTGTTCAGCCCCCTGAGCCTATCCCATTCATGTGTCCAGCCCCCCACGTACTGACTGTGCTCGTGCCCAAGTCATGTACACCTCGTGCTCAGGGTGTGCCCACCGCATGCTCAGGGTGTGCTTATCAGCAGGGAAGCTCGTGACTGTGGTTAGTACTGTGCATGTGAGGAGCGTGATCACCGCCTGGGCTTACTTGGGCCTTGGGCCTGTCTCATCAGGGCTGTTGTGATAAGATAAGAACAGGGCCTCTTTCTCCTTCATTAGAAGGGGGCCTCTTTCTCCTTCATTAGAAGGGGGCCTCTTTCTCCTTCATTATGATTCTAACTTGATTCCTGGGCCACTGTGGCCTGATCCAGTAGAGCTCTTTTTGGTTCTCACAGAACCTCCCCATCCAGAGGCAGTCTACCTTGATTCCTAGGGGGATTTGGCCACTGGGGTAACAGGATGCTGAGCTAGGGGCCTCCCTTTGGTCTGACATCCTTATAGGGGGAAGCCCCTTCCAGCCACACCCCGGAGCTGCTCAGCCTCACAGAATCATAAGTTGGAAGGTACCCAGAGGACCATCTAGTCCAACCCCCTGCAATGCCAGATTCTGCAACTGCCCCATACAGAGATTGGACCTGCAACCTTGGCGTTATCAGCACCACGCTCTATCCAGGCCTCCCTCCCCTTCCAGTCCCGCAGACCCACCCAAAGCCCCTTTGCCCACCTTGGTCTCACGCTTGGCAGAATCAGGGCCATGCACAACGGTCCTCGCAGCCCTGGGCAGGGCAGGGGGGGGCGGGGGTCTGTCCACACGCCTTCCTGTCCTGGATGAGGCAGGCAGAGGCTCCTCGCTCACCTGCCTCACGCAGCATCTGTACTGGCCTAAAGCGAAAGGGAGACTGAGGCACATGTTGCCGCCCACCGTTTTACCGGCTGCAGAGACGTCATCTCATTTCCTCTTTCCACAACCAGAAGGTGGGGGAAGAAGAGCAGAATCTGACCCAGCCCTCGCCCTCCATCCTGTGTTTGGGGTGGGGGCAGGAAGGGGAAGGTCAGAATTGCAGAGCACAAGCCCCCACACGCCAGTCAGACCCTTCCTGGAAGCCATGAAGTGGGGGGGGCAAGGAGGCCGCTGCCAGAACCCCAGGAGACAAGGCAGAAGCAGGACATCAATAAATTAAATATTTTATTATTCCATAATTTAAGAAAAAACGGATCCAGAAAATAAGACAAATTCCTTTGTGCTTAAAAAGGGGGGCTTCTCAGTGCTTTGGGAGCCCCCTCCCCAATGCCCTGGAAGGTCCGCAGAAGGATCAACAGCCTATGGAGTGGGGGCAGAAATGTAAGTCTGGTCGCTGCCCTAGTTGGAGGGGGCTGCCTCTTCACCTACAAGCTGCTAGCCCCCCTCCTCTGAGAGGGAGAAAATAGGGGGCAGCTGTCTGCCCCCCCTCTCCCACTCTTCCCTTCCCTTCACCCACCCCACCCCCTCTTAGATCCCCACCAAAAAGAGAGGCGAACTCAAAAGGTATAGAAAAGAAGTGAAAGTTCATTTCTAGGCCTCTCCTTACAGCCCCCATTTTAAAAAAACCCTGGTTTCCCTCCCCAGGTAATAAAAAAAAACACCTTGACTCCCAATCCCCCCCCCTGCCTCTCTTTGTCATTCCCATAAAATTAAACCCCCACCTCACAAGTGAGAGGGGGATTTATGTATGGGAGAGAATGAGAGCCCCAACCCAGCCCCCCTTAGACTGGATGCAGCGGGAGGTTCCCCTCTTCCTGGTGGTGTTGGGGGAGGGGTGATGCCAGAGGAAGTCAGCCATTTGAGATGCCAAAGCACTGTGGAGGTCACCAGCCCCCCAGCAGGAGGAGCAGGAAGAGGGGGGCAAAGACCTTGGCTTGCAAAGTGGCCCCTGTGGGGGGCAGCCCAGCCCCACTGCTTGGCCGCCCCCCATTCTGGTTCTGTCGGGAGGAGGAGGAGCCCTTCCCAGGCCGCTCCCTGCGAGGTGGGCGGGCATCGGAAGAAGGGCGGGATCCCGCGGGGGAACCCCCAGCCCCCCCTGCTCCAGCCCCCAAGGCCGGCCGGTCCTCGCTGTACCCAGCACCCGAGCCGCTCCCGCCGTCCTCATCTGGAACAGAAAACAGAGGGGAGGGTGGAAGGATCTCGTTCTCTCAAGCGCCATTCTGCAGGAAACCCAGCTGACATTTCCACAACCATGGGGCAGATGGATATGCGGATGAGCCCTCACTGGGAAGCCCCTGCTGGAGAGGGATGGGGGGGCCAGGTTGCTCCCACCCCTCTTTGTCTAGCCACCACCCACTGATTGCTAGACAGCTATGCTGGATGTTGGACTAGATGACCCTTGGGGTCCCTTCCAACTGTATGGTTCTGTGATTTTAAGAGCCAAAGGCTTCCCTAGGAGCTGGGGTTGGGGGGGGGGCGTGTTGGCAGGCTTAATTTATTTTCCCCCTTGTAGGTGCCAGGTCAGTCAGCTGTCTTCATCAATGTTTCCCAGTTGGGAGCCATACGGCCCAAGGCCCCCCAGGATATTGCAAGGTGGGCACAGGTGAAAATCATGTAAATGGGGGGCCACAGCACGAAGTTAGGGGGCCACAGAGGGAAGTCAGAAGTGAAGGGGGGACTTTTAAAAAAAAATGGATCCTCTTAGCCCATCCCAAGCGGGGGGGGGGGCAGTCCTGGCTTGTTTCTGATGTGAGAGGGCGGTCGCTGAGGCTCCTGTTTTGACCAGCAGAGCCTGCAACCCAGAACCCCAGGTCAGGCAAGTGGGGTGGTGGGGTGGCACTGGGGAGGGCTGGGAGCTCCAGAGCTGCTTGTTGCTGCCGCCAGTGCTGGGCCCGCTGGCCGCCTGGGCCTAACTCTGCAAGGCACAGGGTGCAATCCACCCCAGTGCCTGATGGATCAGGGCCTTCAGATGTTGCCAAGGGCTGCAGGGCCAGTCGGCAGTGAAATCCACCCAGCACCTACCAAGGGGGCTTGCCTGGTGCTGCTGACTTGCAGCTGGTAAATAACTAAGTGTCTACTCAGAAGAAAGCCACAGTGAAGGGTGTGGGAGGCTAGAGGGTTTTATCAGATGTCAAAGCAATAAATAACTACCTGACATTTAGAGGGCATCTTAAGGCAGCCCTGTTCAGGGAAGCTTTTAATCTGTGATATTTTACTGTATTTTTTGTTTCTATGGAAGCCGCCCAGAGTGGCTGGGGAAACCCAGCCAGATGGGCGGGGTACAAATAATAAATTATTATTATTATTATTATTATTATTATTATCTAGGCAGCCAGGGCTCCTCCAGATGACAATATCTTTTTGCACCAGATCAGTGAGGACCACTTGCTTTTAAACATTCTCCCATATATAGAGAACTCCCTGTGCGCCTTTTGGACTGTATCTGTGGGTTTCCCCCTTTGTGTCAAATAACTGAGGTCAAATAAGTGTTTACTTTTTATAATACATGGAAGATGGATCTGTCTCAGGAGGTTTGGACTCTCCTTCCTTGGAGGTTTCTAAGCAGAGCTTGGATGGCCGTCTGTCCTGGATGCTCGAGCTGAGTTTCCTGCATTGCAGGGGGTTGGACTAGATGACCCTTGGGGTCCCTTCCAGCTCCATGATTCTGTTTTTCTGCTCCAACAATATTTTATTACGTTCCTATCATTTTATGTGATTCTATTTTGTATAAATTATAAACATCATAAATAAAACATGTTCTATTACAAACAAAACATTTAAATAGCTACCTTTCTACTGGTAGGACGGGGGCACGCATGGCCATAGCCAGGATTTTTGATGGGGGGGGCAGGCTTTTGTTTGTGTTGATTTTTTCTTATTGGGAGGCAGCTGCCCCCCCCCCCCCAGTCTCCCCTTGACTACGTCTATGGGGGGCATAGGAGGAAACAAGGTTGGAAGGGGACTATGGTCAGAAAACGGTTGGGAAACACTGGTCTACACTCCAAAACTTGGGTCTCCAGCAGTTTTTGGACTACAGCTCCCATCATCCCTAGTTAGCAGGATCAGTGACGAGGGATTATAACAACTGTAGTCCAAAACCAGTTGGAGACCCAAGTTTGGAAACCTGGGTCTACCTCAATGATCAAGGCACATCAGCTCATTGGTCAGCCAGTGAGTCCAAGTTCATGTTACGTTTGAAGCTGCAGCTACTCTGTGCTTTGATTTATCTGTATTTGTATCTGCAAAGCCTCCAAGCGGAATGTATATCTATGAGCATCATGCACTGTATTACTGAAGCCTTATCTTCTGGACTTTAGGCTGCCAGTGTGGTGACTGGAACTGGGGGCAACTCCTGCTGTGTGGGTCTCTCCTCCGATTCCCAACAAGGAGAGGGGGAAGTGGGTGCCCGGAAGGGGCTTTTAGGCCTCACCTGCATCCTGGAAGTCAAGGTCCTGCCCATTGCAGGCGCCCACCAGGCGGGAGGTGGCACTGCGTAGGGCCAGGACGTGCTGCCGCGTGGGCATGTCGGGGCGCGAAATGTCCACCTCCACCTCGGGGTTGTTGATCTGGTTCACCAGCCCATCACCCGTCACATCTGGGAGGTACCTGGGAGGGGGCAAAGGGAAAGGTGCGGGGGGAGAGCCTTTAGGCGGACAATGCACCAAGCACCCAGCCCCAAAAGAACCTAAGGAGAGCCTGGTGGCTGGATCAGGCCAAAGGGGCCCATCTGGTTCACAATCCTGTCCTCACAGTGGCCTAGTACTTCTAAGAACCAAGGAATCAAGAGAGACTGCCGTTGGACCTGGAGGATCTGTAAGAATTTAAGAAAGGCCAAGCCGTCATGTCAAAGGCTTATCTAGTCCAGCCTTCTGTTCTCATGGTGGCTGAAAAGATGCCCTGAGCTCTGCATGGGGAAAGTCTTGCCCCACCCAATGACCAGGTTCACAGGCATGCTCAGGGGCTTGACTGCAAATGTATCCCCAAAAGCCTCAGGGGTCAAGTGCCCCCTGTCCCCTCCAGCCTCAAGGCGGGGGAGAGAAATCCAGCCAGCCCTGCTCCCCATCTCCCCTTGAGTCCAACCTTGCCCTTTTCTCCCTGCCTGCACCCTTCGTGGGGTCCAGCCCCACCCCACCTGCCCCTCGCCTGCCCGTTCCAGCAGCTGTCCTCGTTGGTGACATCAGCGGCCACCTTCTCGTCGCTGCAGAGGGTGTGGGGAAGCATCACCCAGAAGCGCCGCATGAGACGCAGCTTCTCCTTCACATCTGACACCTGGGGGGGAGAAGGGGGGGATTAATTTGTCCAGCCCTCCTTTAAAGCAGTCCAGGTTGGTGTCCATCACAGCCTCTTGGGAGAAGGAGTTCCAGAGATTAATGCAGAAGGGCTTCCTTTCCTCTGCCCCAAATCTTCTGACATTCCCCTTCATAGGATGCCCACAAGCTCTGGCATTAAGGGCAAGGGAGAAAAAGCATTTTCCCATCCATTTTCTCCATGACTTGCATAATTTTATAAACTCCTATCTCTGCGGCTTCTTTGCCCTTTCTCTAAACTAAGAAGCCCCAAGTGTTGCAACAAGCCGCCTGCTTGTTCTTATACACACCACGAGATGCAGGGTTGTGGTGCTGAGTTGTCCCAGGGTGGACAGTGCCCCCCCCCAAGGGCAGCATCTCCTGGAATGCAAAGGCTAAGGCTGACAAGGCAGAAGAGGCGCAAGTTCAAGGCTGAGCTCTGGGACGTACCATGCAGGCGGAGCCGGGGGGGTCCCCACAATACCTACCAGCCTGTCCAGGTTGGTTCCTGCTGCGGTTGTGGGCTTCTCCTCGGGCAAGTAAGTGCGGAAGCGGCGCTTGGCCTCCTCCCGAGGGGAGCGGCGAGAGCGAGCAGGGGCTGGGCGGGGGCTGCCGCAGCTCTGGAACACCTGAGAGGGGAAGAAGGCACAGGTGACCCCCACAAGCACCCCAGAAACACCCACCCTGAGCTGCTCTCTCAAGTCCACATGAAGGCCAAAGGCATTCTGCTGCCAGAGCTGGTAGGAGACCAAAGCTCAGATAGGAGATTCAGACGGCAAGGAAGGGGAAGCAGACTCTGTCCTGGATGCTTCAGTGGAGATTTCTGCATTGCAGGGGTGGACTAGATGATCCCTTGGGGTACCTTCCAACTCTGCAGGTCTATGATTCTGTAACTTAACCTCAGGAAGGACTTTCTAAGGGGAAGAGCTGTGGGGCATTGGAAGGGACTACTTGGGGAGGTGGTGGGTGGACTCTCCTTCTTCAGAGGGTTTTCAGCAGAGGTTGGATGGGCATCTGACAGGGAATCCTAGGATTGTAGGGTTGGAAGAGAACCCCCAGGATCATCTAGCCCAACCCCCTGCGAGGCAGGGATCACAGCTAAGCATCCCTGACAGATGCCTGCCCAACCTCTGCTGGTCTGTCTGCAGGTTGTTGGCATCTGTCTGTCTCAAGAAACAATGGAGTGCACCTCCAGGGGTGAAGTCAAACCACTGTGTTAGCCGTGCTGAAGTGACCTCCCCAGGGCGCAAGCCAGGGCCGTGTGCCTGGAGGTCCTGGGCTGCCCTGACGAAGAGACCCCCCTCTCAGCCTTGCTGATGGGCTCCAAAGGAAAGCAGAGCAAGATGTTTGGCACCAGCTTGGCTGCAGGAGATGCTGGAATGAGGCGTACGAAGCGCCATCCAAGCATCTTGGGGGCTCCACTCTGGATTTGTGTCAGGTGTGCTCCTGAGCCTGCCTGCCTGCAGGTGGGTTGTCATAATAAGGAGCAGAGGAGTCAGATTCTCCCTGTCCCCCCATACACACCTTGGCTGAGATTTGGACACTGTGCTCCTGCAGGAACATGATCGCCTCCGAAATCTTCACTCCGATGGAGTCAGCCGCCAGTTCGAAGTTAAAGGGCCCCCCGAGGCGCTCGGCCAATTGGGTCAAAGCATCTGGGAGGGAGAAAGAGGGAGTGGGCCAAGGGGGCTAGGTTGGGGCAAGGGGAAAGAGCCCCCCCACCCACCCAAAGACCCTGTCTACTTGCACTGAGCGGAACAGCCAGCCAGACTCAGACTTTCATTTTGCCTTTCTACCAGTGTGATAGCCAGTGTGGTGTAGTGGTTAAGAGCGGTAGTCTCGTAATCTAGGGAACTGGGTTCGTGTCTCCGCTCCTCCACATGCAGCTGCTGGGTGACCTTGGGCCAGTCACACTTCTCTGAAGTCTCTCAGCCCCACTCACCTCACAGAGTGTTTGTTGTGGGGGAGGAAGGGAAAGGAGAATGTTAGCCGCTTTGAGACTCCTTAAAGGGAGTGAAAGGCGGGATATCAAATCCAAACTCTTCTTCTTCTTCTTCTTTTGCCTTTCTACCAATAAACCCAGGCTGGCATTCGTTTTGGTTCCCGCATGGCAGGGGGTGGACTAGATGCCCCTTGGTGCCCCTTCCAGCTCTACCAATCTAAGACGTCCCCTCTAGATATATGGCAAGCTGACCCTCAAGGCCTCCAGGGAGCTCCCCGGCTGATCAGAGATTTCTCCAGCTGAAGCCCAAGACTCGGCTATGCCCATTGCACCACGCTGCCTCGCAGTTGACTAAAATGCCACTTGAGGGCAAGCTCTCCCCTCGTCCAACCCTGCCTCCTGACATTTCCCACTGCCAGCCTTTCCCCCAGCCCTCCCCCCTCCCCCGGGGGTGTGCTCACCGAGAAAGCGCTCCCACTCGGGGTCCAGCTCCACTGCACTGGCAAAGCAGCCCTTCATGACGTTGAGGCAGAATCCGTTGCAGGGCTTGAGGGCCGGAGTCCCACGGCAAAGTGGGCAGTAGGAGAGGCGCATGTGGGCACGGCGGCACTCTCCACTGGGAGAGAGCTGGGGGGAGAAATGGGGGGGGACAGATTGAGCATTTGGCAGCCCGAGGATTCCCCCAGGATGGCCGCAGGCACAGAGGAGGCGGAGAAGTCACCCTTTGGAACTCCCTGCCTATTGACCTTCACTGCATTCTCCATTAGGCAAGCCTGGCATCTGACCCTCCCTGTGATCAGAGCTCAGATGTTTTGCCCACTGTCCAGTGCAGGTTCCCAGGGAAAGAGGGCCGAGGTGCCAGAAGCACCACCTGTGTCAGGAATGCTCTCCCAGGTGCATCCGTTGCCTGCTCTAGGGCAACTGCAAGTTTGCAGGAGCCTTGTGGATCAGGCCAGTGGCGCCTCCAGTCCAGCCTCCTGCTCTCTCAGTTGGCCAGCCAGAGTCCCCCAAAGGAGACCTGCAATGGAAGCCCCGGGACCAGATGGATTTACATCAAGTAATTATAAAGAAATGAAAGACGTGTTGATGATCCCTTTGAAAGGAGTTATGAACATTTTAAAAGAAAGAGACATTCCAGAAACGTGGAAAGAAGCATATATTACCTTGATCCCAAAACAAGATTCGGATTTAACCCAAGTTAAAAATTATAGGCCTATTTCATTATTGAATACGGACTACAAGATATTTGCGGGAATTTTAGCGAAGAGAATGAAAAAGATATTGACAAGACTTATACATAAGGACCAAGCAGGTTTCCTACCAGGCAGACAAATGAAAGATAATATAAGAAATATAATTAATTTATTAGAATATCTGACTGCTAGGAATGACAAACAAGCAATTTTAATGTTTGTGGATGCAGAAAAGGCCTTTGATAATATTATATGGGAGTTTATGTTGAAAAATTTAGAACATATGGAGGTGGGGAAAGAGTTTTTCAATGGTATTAAGGCAATCTATACAGAACAGAGAGCAAAATTGATAGTTAACAGTGTAATTACTGAAGATATAAAAATATCTAAAGGAACAAGACAAGGTTGTCCGCTCTCGCCATTGTTATTTATAATGGTTCTGGAAGTCTTTTTAAATGCGATTAGACAAAATAAACAAATAAAAGGGGTGACAGTAGGCCAGAAAGAGTATAAAGTCAAAGCCTTTGCCGATGATTTGGTAATGACCACTGAAGAACTAATAGAAAGTGTAAAAGAGGTATTGGATGAGATGGAACAATTTGGAAGGGTAGCCGGATTTAGACTGAATAAGAAAAAGACTAAAATGATTGCAAAAAATATGGAACAAAGTAAGATTGAAACAATGCAGCAACAGACGGAGATAGAGGTGGTGAAAAAGGTAAAATATTTGGGAATTTGGTTATCGCCCAAAAATATCGATTTGTATCAAAATAACTATATTCTGGTTTGGAAGGGAATAAAGAATGATCTGGAGGTGGGGGGTAGAATGAAATTATCCTTTGGGGGAAGAATTTCTACGATAAAGATGAGTGTACTGCCAAAGATGTTATTTCTATTTCAGACTATACCCATTATAAAGGGTATAGGAATTTTTAAAGAATGGCAAAGAGTGATTTCAAGGTATATCTGGCAGGGGAAGAAGCCAAGAATAAAATTTAAGTTATTGACAGATGTAAAAGAAAGAGGAGGCTTCGCCCTACCAGATATGAAATTATATTACGAAGCAGCATGCCTATGTTGGCTAAAGGAATGGATCAAATTAGAAAACAAGGAGCTATTAGATCTTGAAGGTTTTGATAACAGATTTGGTTGGCACGCGTATTTATGGTGTGATAAGAAGAAAGTTCATAAAGGTTTTGGAAACCACATTTTCAGGAGTTCGTTAATAGAAATATGGGATAGGTATAAAAATTCATTGGAACCAAAAGTTCCACATTGGCAATCTCCGTTGGAGGTTATGAGTGTTAAGAAAATTAACATGAGAGGTAAATGGAGTACATATGGAGATACATATGGTAATTAAAGAAGGAGGAAAATGGAAATTGAAACCATATGAACAAGTCAAAGATCATGTATATGATTGGCATTATTTCCAGGTAAATGAAATGTTTAAAAAAGATCTAAAAGAAAGTGGTTACGTAGAAAAAGATTCTAAGTTCCAAACAGATATAATAAACAATGAATGCAAAACTTTGTCAAAAATGTATAAGATATTGTTGGAATGGCATACGAAAGATAAAGAGGTTAAATCGGTAATGATACAATGGGCCAAAGATTTTGGGTATAACATACAATTTGATGATTGGGAAAAACTGTGGATAGAGAATGTAAAATTCACTGCATGTACGGCACTGAAAGAAAATGTTATGAAAATGTTTTATAGATGGTACATTACACCTGTAAAGTTAGCAAAGATGTATAAGACGTGCAACAAATGTTGGAAATGTAAAGAAAAAGAAGGAACATTCTTTCATTTGTGGTGGGAATGTAAGAAAGTGAAAAGCCTTTGGGAAGTGATTTATAATGAAATGAAAAAGATGTTAAGATACACTTTTGTAAAAAAAACCAGAGGCTTTTCTTTTAGGGATTACAGGAAAGGAAATAAGAAGAAAAGACTGTAAACTTTTCCAATATGCAGTTACGGCAGCCAGAATCCTGTTGGCCCAGAAATGGAAACAAGAGGAAATACCGACGATAGAAGAATGGAGAATGAAACTGACAGACTATGCGGAATTGGACAAACTAACTGGGAAAATTAGATACACCAGAGACCAAAAGTTCATCGAAGACTGGGGAAAGTTCGTAGATTATCTGAAAAATGTATGTGATGTGAAAACAACGCTAGTGGGATTTCAAGAGGCACTGTAAAAACAGAGAAGTATTGTTAATAAGAAATAGAAGGAGAAGGGAAGTTTAATGGCAATACGAATGAAGGGAATGTGTATTAAAGATATAAACATGGATGATTGTCAGAGACGCTGAAGGAAGTTCAAAAAGAGACAATTTGTTGAAATTTGGATAAAAATGTATAATTGTATGGAAAACTAATAAAAATTTATTCAAAAAAAGAAGAAGAGGAAACTCTCTGCATGTGCTCAGAGAAACTCTTTGTGATGGCAGCAAAGGAAAAGTGCTCTCCGCATTCTCCATTACATCCCCCACCCGCCTCTCTTTTCTCATGTCTACAGATGAAACCCTCAGAAGAACATCATAAGATCCTTCTGCATCAGGCCAAAGAGGGACTTCTGGTCCAGCTTCCTGTTCTCATGGTGACCAAGCAGATGCCTGCAGGAAACCCACAATCAGGATTCGGACGCAAGAGCCACTCTCCCCCCTTGCAGTTTCCAGCAAGTGGTATTACTGAAAAGCACCACTGCCTCCGATTGTGGAGCCAGAGTAGGATTCCTGCACTGCCCTTGGGGATCCCTTCCCACTCAAGGTTAACGGTTCTGTGTGAAGTAGTCCTTCCTTTTCCCTGGAGATATTTGCAAGCCAGAAGTGACTGATCTGATATCCTCCCAACACTGCTGCTCCTTTGGAGAGGACTTTGGCAGCAATGTGGGGTGTGGGGAGAGGGAAGGTGGGGGCAGTGGAGCAAACCTGACTGCATAGGGAGGACGGCTGGGTGGGGGCAGGTAATAATAATAATAATAATAATAATAATAATAATATCCTGCCCATCTAGGCTCCTTCTCTCTATCAAGATGCTTGCAGAAGTGTAACCTTCTCCTCAGCCAGGGGGCAGCTCACTCAGGCCAGGCTTCTCACCTTGACCGCCTGGACCACCACATCTCGTCCGGTCGCCAGGCCCTGGACAAAGGCTCGAGCAGCAATGAAGGCGCGAGTCACCTGCAGGGGAGCAGGACAGAGCGGCCAGGAAGGGCAGCTGAGCAGCTGGACACACGCATGCATGCACACAGCCCAGGACAGCCCACCCCTGAGGCAAGGTGAGGCAGGACCCACAGGGGCATCAGATCCGGACTCCAAGGAATGCATGGCCCACTGCTGCCATGAATGTGGTGCACTCCCTGGAGGCAGGTTCTGCCCTCCACCCAATGCTGCAGTGGCCTCCTGGCCAGTTGGAGGTGCTGCTGGTCTCTCCCCCTGCCTTGTTCCCGATGTAGATCTTCATTCCTGGCTTGTTCCAGCTGTAGATCTTCGCTCACCTGCCTTCTCCGGCCAAGAGATAAGAGGCAATTTTGTGTTTTGCCTCAGGTGCCAACATGTTGGGGGCCAACCCTGCACCACCCACCCACACCCGACCCTCCCACCCACCTGCCCCACAGTCTTGCAGGGCTAAGGTTGCCATACGCCCATGAAATCCCAGATATGTCCTCTTTTGGGGGGCCAACAAACCCATCCGGGGGAATTTTTACATTTTAAAAGAAAGGTTCAGGGTTGGGGGGGTATTTATTTATTTCTGGGTTGTGCGGTTTTGTTTGTTTGTTTGTTTGTTTGTTTGTTTGTTTTTGGCTCAGGTGCTGGCTGCTCTGCACACCACGGCCAGCCCAAGCAACTCAGGCTGTCGTCTTTTTTGCTCTTCAAGATATGGCAGTCCCATGCAGGAATGAGTGTGTGTGTATCAGTGACTGGGAGCTGGATCTATGGGTAATTCATCTGCGCCCAGAGTTGGTAGAGAACTCAGGCACAGCTGGAAGCCAACTGTTTATGCTCTTGATCCTGCACACAAAGTCAGGGACGCCTCAGAACATTTCTGGACTCGAAATTGCCTTTTGCCCCACAGCTGAGGGCTGACATGAGCCCCAGAGAAGAGGGGTTCCCTGTGGCCTGAGCCCATCCCTTGCAAGTGCATGAGGAGAGAGCTGCTGGATCAGGCCAGGGGCCCAGCTAGATGCTCGTGAGAAGTCTGCCAGCAGGATCCAAGCACAATAGCCTTTCTTCCCTCCTGCTGCCTCTAAATGTGGAGGCAGAGCAGGGCCAGTCTCGCCAGTGGCCCCGAGAGCTCTCTCCTCCTCTGTGCATCGGTCCAATGCTCTTTGGAAGCCCTCCAAGTTAGTGGACATCCCTGCCTCCTGTGGGAGGGAGTTCCATGGGTTCACTATGGGTCACATGAAGAAGCAAGAGGGTGTTGTGGCGTCCCAGGGAGGGTGGGGAGGGGAGGGCCAGGGGGTGGACTCACCTGCACGCGGAGCTGGCGGGGGCTGTCCCCAAAGGCCCGCAGCCCCTCTGCCTGGTGCCCCACACACTCCAGGTAGCCTTCGGGGAAGCTGTACTGGGGGTTGAGCAGGGGCAGCATCCGCTCCAGCAGGCGGGCCCAGAAGTCGCTCAGGGCCTCATCCAGCCCAGGTCGTGCTCCCTGCAGGTGGCGCCGCAGCTCCACAAAGAGCCCCTGGAAGAGGCGGGCATGCTGGGCATAGAGGCGCCCATAGGAGCGGGTGAACATGGCCTGGAGGGACTGCTCTGCCCCAGCCAGGAGCTCCCGGAAGAAGTCTGTGGGGGCAGGGAGATGCGGGGAGGAGGAGGAAGAAGGAAAGGAAGAAGAAAAGGAAGAGGAGGAAGAAGGTAGGTTGAGCCAAAACTCTGCCTCTGAAAAGGAGCCTTCTCCTGAGCATGTGCACATTGCGCTTCCCTCACTACTGCCCCCCTTTGGGGTGCAGGACAAAGGCTTACAGGCAGCCGCAAGCTGCAGCGCCCCATTGCACAACTTAGGGGTGCAAAGCAGGTGTGCAGTTGGGTGGAAATTGGAAACTAGGAGAGTGGGGAGGCAACAAGCCAAGTTGGGGGTGGCAGACCAGCTTCCTCTGCTGCTCAGGGCAAAAGGCCCCCCACCTCAACCCCGGAGCTCCATTGGCCAAGAGGTCCCCCCCCCCCCGCTTTCTTAAGGATCCGGAGCAGATTCTGGCATAGAGTGGGGGATAACTTTCATCCAGCCCTTCAGGACCTCCAGTGGGTTGGGGGTCCCACAGCCTCTGGGGTTTCCCAAAGGGAACAGGGAGGTGCTGGAAACCTCCCTCCACCTCACCGTGGAAGCGGCGCTGGCGGGAGCCTAGGGTGCTGAGCAGGAAGCCGGCTGCCTCTCCCACCAGGCCCTGGAGATCCCCCCGGCTCTGCTCACTCAGACGCTCCTCCGTCTCGCTGGCGCAGCAGGTGTACTCCTGGGGGCAGATGCGCAGGTGCTCTCCTGGGAGGGGGGAAGAGGATTGCTGTTAGCCTGCCTGGCCCCACAGCTGGAGGGAAGTGCTCCCCACCCCTCATAGGGGAACAAAGGCGGTGGCAGCCTCCCCAGCCCAACATTGTAGAGTTGGAGGGGACCCTGAGGGTCATCTAGTCCAACCCCTGCAACACAGGAGTCTCAGAGTGTGTGTTTTTTGGGGGGGGGGTGGCAAAATTGCAGCCAGGAGCAGTTCCCACATAAACGCATGAGAAAGTGAGTGGTGGCCTAGTGTTTAGCGTGTCCAGCTAGGACCTGGGAGAGACCAGGGTTCAAATTCCCCCACTCAGCGACCTCCAGAGCCAGTCACTGCCTTCTCTCAGCCTAGCGGACCTCACAGGGTTGTTGTGAGGAGAAAACGGAGAGGAGAAAGAGAACTAGGGGCATCACCATGAACTTGCCTAGAGAAAAAGAGGTGGTCTGGAGGTACAATAAAGAAGCTAAGAGAAATGGAGGGTGCTGGGGGTGCTCCTGCTTGCTAGCCCCCGCCCAACTCCACAGAACACGGAGCGCCCTTCCAGAGGACAGGAGAGGTGGAGAGGGGCTTCTGAAGCGCTAAGGAGGCAGAGAAGAGGCAGCGAACGGGCGCGGGGGGCGCTGGCTGCCTGTGAGGGGTCCCTCGGTCGGGGAAGCGTCCCTCCACGAGGCTTGAATGGGCTGACGGAGAAAACGTCCCGTCGGACTTGGGAAAATGGGGGGCTTCCCCGCAACTTCTGCCCGAAAGACCCAGAGAAAAGGGGCAATGGCGAGGCAGGGGACAGTCCCCACGGGCGCGCGGGGGGAGGGGTGGCGCGAGCCCTGCTGCTCGCTCTGCGGCCGCCTCGTCCGGGCGAGGGGGGCGTGGGGGGAGCCTTCCCCGCAACTTCCTTCCGAGACCCGGAGAAGAGGGGCGGTGGGGACCCACGCGAGACGCCCCTCTCCCTGATCCACGTCCTGGAGACGCCCGGGAAAGTTTGCTGCCCGTGCCCCCAGCGGTGCCAGGACGGGGCGCCCGCTTACCGGAGATGAGGCTGGGCGGCAGCGAGGCGAGGGCGAAGCCGCGCCCGGCCAGCGCCTGCCGACTCTCCGCGCAGCTCCGCGCCGCCCCGCGCGTCTCTCCGCCAGCGGCGGCGGCGGCACAAAGGAGCGGCAGGAGCTGCAGGAGGAGCAGGCGCAGCGGCGCCATGGAGGGAGAAGAACCCCTGCGGGCGAGGCCGGCCGGGGAAGAGCGCGCCGCCGCCGCAGCCGCCGAGAAGCGCGCAAAGGAGCGCAGCGCGGCGCAGCAAACGGCCGGAGACAATGGCAAGGGCCAGCCCGCGCCCGCCGCCGCCGCCCGGCCCTAGCGCCGCCCGGCCCGGCGGGCGAGAGACAATGGGGGCCGCACGGGGGGCTCGGAGGGAGGGAGGGGTCCTAGCGCCCCCCGCCTCTCCTGCCGGGCCAGAGGGGCGGATGCAAGACGGCGGGGGCGGGGAGAGACTGAGAGACTGCGATTCTGCGGGGGGGGGGGAGCGGGAGCGGGGGCGAGGGACCGAGGGACCCAGCTGTTTCCCCTCTCCCGGTCCGTGAGTGACAAGTGGCATCCAACCGCGTCCACTTGTCACTCACGGACCGGGAGAGGAGAAACAGCTGGAAGCCCCTAGCCAAGGCACGTCGAAGCTGCCTCGGAGCGACTGGGTGGCTTCTGTGCTGGGGGCTGGACTAGATGACCCTCGAAGCCCCTTCCCACTCTACAAGTCTTTGATTCTATGCTGCTACCTGGGGAGACCCAAGGAGATCCGTCCACGGAGTCCTCTCCGTCCATTTCCGTCCAGTCAACTGCTTCTGGGAGTCCAGCGGGGGCAGCCCTCCCCGCCCTCCCTGTCTGCCTGATTTCTGCTAGGGCTTGGCACGCGGATGCCTCCTGCTGCCTCTGACCATGGAGGCTCCATTGTGCTGCTGCTCTGGCCAATGAGCCGCCGACGCTGGCCAGACCCACCTAAAACATTCACCTCCGCAGTCTCTCATTCTCCACACCTGGGCGACGATAGACTCGTAGAGTTGAAAGGGACCCCGAGGGTCATCTAGTCCAACCCCCAGCCACTGAGAAACTGGAGCATGTCCAGAAGAGTCGGCCAGGGTGTGGGTGGGTGTCCTGTGGAGAACACTTGAAAGAATTGGGTGTGTTTACCGTGGAGAAGCAGGGAGCCGGGAGGGGCTCACCCGATATCCCTGGAGGGTTGTCAGTCACGCAGAAGACCGAGCGGGACAGGTCACAGCCAGGCGGGTGGCCCTCGCTGCCTCCCCTGTTTGCCTGCGTGAAGAAGGACTTCCTTTCTTCTGTCACGAATCCTCCAGCCTTCAGCTTCAATGGATGTGCACGAGTTCTTGTTCCTGGAGAAGGAGAGAGGAAAGTTCTCCGCTGTCTCCACGTTCCCATGCCATACCCTAGTTTATACACTTCTATCGTCTTATTCGCCTTTTATAAGCCATAAAGCAGCCTTTCTTCACAGGGGCGTCATTTGGGTTGCCTTTCCTGAACCCTCTCCAACTCTGCAACATCCTTCTTGAGGCGAGGCGAACAGAACTGGACCCAGCATTACTGCACCTGCCGTCGCGCCCGAGATTTCTGTTATAAGCGCATTGCGATGCTTTCTGGGGCCGGAGCCGCTTCCACAGCGGAGCAGTCGCTGCCTTTGCTGGAAGTGCTTAAGGAGCGGCTGGAGCGAGGCCTGTCGGGGGTCTGTGGGGGTCGCATCCTTCCTGTCCCGCAGGGAGCTGTCCTGTGCGTGACCTCACGTGCCTCTTCCAGCCCCGAGCGAGCGAGCGCCCGGCTCTGGATCCCAGGGGAGCGGAGGGGGCCCGGAGGAGTCTGCGGTTGCCCTTCCCCGCGCAAGCAGCAAGGGGCGCTGCTGCGACAGGGAGGACCCAGCGCCGGAAAGTGCGCTTCCCCCGTAGGAGAGACGTACAGTATTGGAATCACAGAATGGCAGAGTGGGAAGGGACCCCCAAGGGCCATCTAGACCAGCCACCTTCAATAATGCAGGAATCACAGCTAACGAATTCCTGACCTCTGTTTTTAAAACCTTGCAATGAATCACAGAATCATAGAATCCTAAGGTTAGAAGGGATCCCCAAGGACCATCTAGCCCAACCCGCAGCAACGAAGGAATCACAGCTGACGGGTGGCCTCGCGACTTCTCTTGCCAAGCCTCCAGAGAGAAGAGAAGCCTCTTCTGCCTTTGCCCGGGCAGCCCTGGAGGACAACCTCCGGGTAACGAGAGAAGTGTTGAGTCGGGCCATATTCCACGCGGAACAAAGGCCCCCGCTGTTCTTTCGAGAGTCTGCCTGGGGGGTTGACTGCCTTGCTTTCAGTGGATTAACAGCCCCGTCCTCCTTCCCTATAGTTTGAAGTAAGGCGCTGAGCGATCCTACAGCCGATTAAAATGCAGGGGCGAGGGGAACCGGGGCAGGAAGAGATGTCGCCCCTGCAGCAGCTTGGCTCTTCTCCACCCAATGGCAGCTCAGCCTGGAGATGGGGAGGGGGATATACTGCTTGGGAAATCTCCCTCCCACAAATATTATGCAAGTGGGAGGCGCCCCTGTTGGAAAGTGAGAGTTGGAAAAGATATGCCTATTCTCCAGTAGCAGAGCAGCGCAATGGCGATTGCTCCAGGCACATTTAAACTTGGTTAGATTTCGTCACCTGCCTTTAAACAAACGCTTGTTGTTGTTGTTTAGTCGTTTAGTCGCGTCCGACTCTTCGTGACCGCATGGACCACAGCACGCCAGGCACTCCTGTCTTCCACTGCCTCCCATAGTTTGGTCAAACTCATGCTGGTAGCTTCAAGAACACTACCCAACCATCTCATCCTCTGTCGTCCCCTTCTCCTTGTGCCCTCCATCTTTCCCAGCATCAGGGTCTTTTCCAGGGAGTCTTCTCTTCTCATGAGGTGGCCAAAGTATTGGAACCTCAGCTTCACAAACGCTTAGGCTACAATAAATCACACACTTAACTTTGCAAATAAGGCATTATTTTACTCACAGAGTTGCCAGAAGTTACAGCAAACATGTCTCTATTCGCTGGCAGTAAAACAAAGAACAAAAAAGAGAGGCTCCAAACGACTTAAAAAGAAAAGTACTGAGTTTCCTTACGAAAAAGATCATGCCATATTAGGGTTAGCAAAGATGCAGGCTTTAAAATCTCCCTGAGAAGCAGGGCGCAGAGGCTGCTGAGAGCCGACTAAGCCCCTTGCAGCCTGAGGTCTTATATCCGCTTAACTCTTTCATACATGGAAGTGTGGGGCAGTGGCCATATATTGCAGCACTCTCAGTATCCAATGCTCTGGGAAGTATGTTGTGACTGTGCCAGGAAGCGAGGTGCCCACGTGGGGACCACTGACATGGAAGGAACATGTGATCTCACTGGGGGCTGGGGGGTCTCTTCTCCCAGTACACACACCCCAGCACCACCAGACACGCAAAGCATTAACCATTAACCCAGCACACCATTAAAATGTGAAACTCCCTCCCCTAGGAGGAAGCAGTGGTGGTCATAAAAGATTAGACCAATTCATGGAGCAGATGGCTATCAATGGCTTCTATCCGCAATTGCTCTGCTCTGCCTCCACCTTCGGTGGTCGGGATCTTGTGTTCGGAATCCCAGTTGCTCAAAACCGCAGCAAGAGAGAGTTGCTCTTGAGCTCAAATCCTGCTTGTGAACAACTCTTTGGCCGCTGTGAGAAGGAGATGCTAGACTGGCCTGACCCAGCAGGCTCTTCTTACATTCTTCTGTACAATGGTACCTCAGTTTAAGTCCTGTTTACAACCGATTTGGTTTACAAACTCCACAAAACCTGAAGTAATGTTCCTGTTTGAGAACTTTACCTTGGTCTAAGAATGGAATCCGAATGATGGAAGGGCACTGACAGTGGGAGGCCTCATTAGGGAAAGTGAGCCTTGGTTTAAGAACAGTTTTGGTTTAAGAACAGACTTCCAAAACAGATTAAGTTCGTAAACCGAGGTACCACTATATATACATACATATGTACGTAGGAGCTGAACAAATGGATTCAAACAGCAAAAAAGGAGATTCTGACTGAACAACCAAGTCAGGCTGGATACTTTGGGGGTTGTTTTCATGAGGAAAGAGAGTCGCAGGCCCTACAGCAGTGACTGCGCAGAGCAAATGCCATCCCTGGAAGCCGTCCAGGTCCCATTCTGAGGTGCACACGCCACTCATCACCGCCTGGCTTCTCCTGCATCCGGGAAGGACTTTGCCCCACCTTTGGCTTCCTTATGTGGTAGGGAGAGGTTCCTTTCCAGCACTCGTGTGAGCAGGGTTGTGGGGGAGAGAGACGCCTCCGTGCAGGCCCCACATGCAGCCTCCCAGGCCTCTCTGCCCAGCCCCTCCTGAGGACTCTCACCAGCCCCCCCCACCCGGATCCAGCCCTGCTGTGCACCAGCTGTCAAGGGGAAGAGCCTTGGCAGGTGACTGCCTCTTCCCAGCCTGGATAGAGAGATGGGGGGTGTAGATTTCCTGGGGTTCAAATGCAGTGCACTGTGCAACAGAGTCATGCTGTCTGATCATCCAAAGATCACAGGGCAGTTTACAGAATGACAACACAAAATGCACAGCATGATACTACACTGCAATAACACCCCCACCTGACAGACACACACTGAAAAGGCCACAGAGAGTTACAGGTCAAAGGCCTGGTGATAGAGGGTCATTTGGAGCAGAGGTTGGGGGGCTGCCTGTCAAGGATTCTCTAGCTGTGATTGCAGGGGGTAGGCTAGATGGCCCTTAGAGGTCCCTTGCAACTAGGTTTCTATGATTCTGTGTAAGGTCAGGCTCATAGAACCAGAGAATTACAGAGTGGGAAGGGATCCCAAGGTTCATCTAGTCCAACCCCCCTGCAAATTAGGAATCGTTTGCCCAGCGTGGGGCTCCAACCCACAACCCTGTCTCATGCTTACGTGGACCTCCTTGCTGCAATGTGAGGGATCTCTTTGTCCTGAGCACTGTGCAAGGGGAGGGGGGCACAGCATTGCCTTGACCTGAAGAAACGTCTCAGGAGGAGGAGGAAGAGGGAGGCCTTCTGTCCATGCATGGCCCCACCAGCAAGGCCCTGTGCAGCCAGGAAAATGTGGGCCCTCCTTCCACTTTCAGCCATGGGTCACTAGCGCCCCCCCCCACCTGCTGTTCTGTCTCACACATCCACAGGGGAGGAAAAGGTAACCAGAGCCAACACTCTGCATGCCTGATCTACGTATGTCTGCCCATTTTTTCCTGCAAACAGTGGCAAGGCCGCAGCTCAATGGGACCTGCTTGGCCTTGCCAGGGGCCAGCTGGTGGTGGATGAGGTCATGGGTTCAAATGGCAAAGAAGGAGATGCCAACTGAACCTTATGAAGAACCTTCTGGGGACAAGAGCTGTTTGACGATGGAATGGTCTCCCTCGGAAGGTGGAGGACTCTCCTTTGGTGGAGGTTTCTAAGCAGAGGTCAGGTAGCATCTGTCAGGGCTGCTCGAGCTGAGATTCCTGTATTGCAGAGGGCTGGACTAGATGACCCTTGGGGGTTCCTTCCAACTCTGTTATTCTCTGATTCTGTGATCTCTGAGCACCATTCAGTGAGCTGCTGTCACCCCACCCCTCATTCTTCCCCCACCCTGCCAGTGGAATTTCCAGGGACATTTTGCCAATCCAAAGTTCAACCACAAAATAATTACCCAGCACCTGTGCTGAAAAATGACAAGAGACATTCACTGCCCTGTTTGTATTGGGGAAACAAAGAGAAAAGAAACTCTGAGGCCAGACTTTTCATTAGGGCTATGCAAACTTTTAAAATATATGTGCGTTTTTTTGTTTCTTGAGAATATCGCTTTAAGATAAGATGTACAAATCAATCAAAGGATTTTTTAAAAAAACAGAACCAGAGCCATGACTGAGTGAAACACAGAGGTGTGTATCACTTCTTCTTCTGTATTAAGAAATAAATATTGTCACACACCAATCTCTGAGCAGTGAGAGACTCTGGAGTTCCAAGCACTGACCTTGAATTCAGCTTCCTTGAAAGGAAGGTCAGTGGACACCATGGCATCTTTAGGATATAGGGATTTATTTTCACATATATACAGTGGTACCTCGGGTTACAGACGCTTCAGGTTTCAGACTCTGCTAACCCAGAAATAGTACCTCAGGTTAAGAACTTTGCTTCAGGATGAGAACAGAAATCGTGCGGCGGTGGCAGGAGGCCCCATTAGCAAAAGTGGTACCTCAGGTTAAGAACAGTTTCAGGTTAAGAACGGACCTCCAGAACGAATTAAGTTGTTAACCCGAGGTACCACTGTACAACCCACCGCTTCGTGGATCACTGCCTCGTCATGGCGAAAGGGCTTAGATAACTCCAAGAAGCTGTGAGCTGTGCCGTGCAGGTCATAGCTGAGAGTTTAGACTAAATGTGATCCACCTGGAGAAGGAACTGGCAAGCCACTCCAGTATTTTGCCAAGAAAACTCCATGGACATAGGTGAACCTGTCTGGGAAAAATTTGAATTTGTATAAAGATAATTATGAGAAATTGGAGATATGAAAGGAACATTTTGTACAAAGATTTCCATAATAAAAGACAAAAGTGGAAAGGACCTAACAGAAGCAGAAGACATCAAGAAGAAGTGGCTAGAATACACAGAGGAACTATACCAGAAAGAAATGGATGTCTCGTATACCCCAGGTAGTGGGGTTGCTGACCTTGAGCCAGACATCCTGGAGAGTGAAGTCAAATGGGCCTTAGAAAGCACTGCTAATAACAAGGCCAGTGGAAGTGATGATATTCCAGCTGAGCTATTTAAAATTTTAAACGATGATGCTACACTCAATATGCCAGCAAATTTGGAAAACTCAGCAGTGGCCAGAGGATTGGAGAAGATCAGTCTACATCCCAATCCTAAAGAAGGGCAGTGCCAAAGAATGCTCCAACTACCGCACAATTGCACTCATTTCACACGCTAGCAAGGCTATGCTTAAAATTCTACAAAGCAGGCTTAAGCAGTATGTGGACCAAGAACTCCCAGAAGTGCAAGCTAGATTTCGAAGGGGCAGAGGAACCAGAGACCAAACTGCAAACATGCGCTGGATTATGGAGAAAGCTAGAGAGTTCCAGAAAGTCATCTACTTCTGCTTCATTGACTATGCAAAAGCCTTTGACTGTGTCGACCACAGCAAACTATGGCAAGTTCTTAAAGAAATGGGAGTGCCTGATCATCTCATCTGTCTCCTGAGAAATCTCTACGTGGGACAAGAAGCTACAGTTAGAACTGGATATGGAACAACTGATTGGTTCAAAATTGGGAAAGGAGTACGGCAAGGCTGTATATTGTCTCCCTGCTTATTTAACTTATATGCAGAATTCATCATGTGAAAGGCTGGGCTGGATGAATCCCAAGCCGGAGTTAAGATCGCCGGAAGAAATATCAACAACCTCAGATATGCAGATGGCACAACCTTGATGGCAGAAAGTGAGGAGGAATTAAAGAACCTTTTAATGAGGGTGAAAGAGGAGAGCGCAAAATATGGTCTGAAGCTCAACATCAAAAAACAAAGATCATGGCCACTGGGCCCATCACCTCCTGGCAAATAGAAGGGGAAGAAATGGAGGCAGTGAGAGATTTTACTTTCTTGGGCTCCATGATCACTGCAGATGGTGACAGCAGTCACAAAATTAAAAGACGCCTGCTCCTTGGGAGAAAGGCGATGGCAAACCTAGACAGCATCTTAAAAAAGCAGAGACATCACCTTACCAACAAAGGTCCGTATAGTTAAAGCCATGGTTTTCCCAGTAGTGATGTATGGAAGTGAGAGCTGGACCATCAAGAAGGCTGATCGCCAAAGAATTGATGCTTTTGAATTATGGTGTTGGAGGAGACCTTTGAGAGTCCCATGGACTGCAAGAAGATCAAACGTATCCATTCTTAAGGAAATCAGCCCTGAGTGCTCACTGGAAGGACAGATCGTGAAGTTGAGGCTCCAATACTTTGGGCACCTCATGAGAAGAGAAGACTCCCTGGAAAAGACCCTGATGTTGGGAAAGGTTGAGGGCACAAGGAGAAGGGGATGACAGAGGACAAGATGGTTGGACAGTGTTCTCGAAGCTACAAACATGAGTCTGACCAAATTGCGGGAGGCAGTGGAAGACAGGAGTGCTCTGGTCCATGGGGTCACGAAGAGTCGGACACAACTAAACAAGAAAATTATGAGAAATTATGGAAATGAAATTAAAAGAGATTTGGAGATATGGTCAAATTTAAAATTGTCATTAATGGGCCGGATGTCTCTGATTAAGATGAATGTGCTGCCAAAGATGCTTTTTTTTGTTTCAAGCCCTCCCAATTATAGACAATGTGAGATGTTTTAAAGAATGGCAGAAAGCATTATCTAGATTTA